GCTGGATAAATTCGTTTTTCGACATATTATCTTCTTTCACAGCCATACTCCTCATTTTGTCATTACATCATTTTTTTGGACAATGTTGAGCAGTCTGCTTTGGTTCTCCATAATATAAACATAATCCTTCTTGATGACAACGAGTCTTTTCTTGCTCAGTAAGAGGTTTGAAATGTACTGCATCAATTTGCATATCCTCTACTTCCAAATGTATGTCTTGAAGAGGTGTTGGTGTTGCCATTCAAATATAGTAACGTTGAGGTTCATTTGTACGGTTCTCAGATCGAAATTCAAAAAGGTGATTGTCGTACTTCACAGCAAAGTCAATTGCTTGACTCAATGTTTGAAGATCAGGTAAGTTGAGCATTAATTTTTTTACCTCTTTTTGTAATCCGTAGAGAAATTAGCTAATAAGTGCAGCATCATCCCACTTGATATCAGTTGCAAGTTGTTGAAATTGTGAAGCATATAACATTACTGATCGATTGTCTTGTCATAAAATACAGATCTTATTCGTTGCAACACGAATTGCATCATGTTTTCTATACATGGATCGAAACTTTGTCAGAAAAGTCTCTAGATTATCCAATATTGGATCTTGTCGTTCAAAAAAAGATGAAAACCATGATAGTGCTGAACCTGAAAGAAGCGTATCAATGAATCTAACTTGCGATCTGGAGTTGGATAGCTTTGGGGTTGAAGTTCAATCAGAAGTTGCACTTGATTGATAAATCCTCAAAACTTAGATCTGGTACCATCAAACTTCTCAAGTAGGCCAATTCTTGGTTCTCTAACACTGGAAGGATGTTCCACCATAGAAGAAAGGACATGGTTTGGTGTAGATGTTGAAGCAGCTCCAACCATTTCTATATCTTCACTTCCTGCCAATCTTGTTGCTCCTTATGGTGGTAAATTGAGTTAATGCAACACAAGCATTAACTCCCTCAATTGCTCTTGCATTTATGCCATTGCACTCTTCATTTCAACAAGTTCTGTCATGATAACACTTAGAAAAGAGAAGATGTCTAATATGGCTTAAGACAAATAGAAGAGAGGACTTGAGAACAAAGAAAATATTAAGGACAATATCAGTTTAGAAGAAGGTAATCCGCAACTTCTAATATGCTTATATCTTATCAAGAAAAAGAGATAATCCACTCTTAATCAAGATTAGACAAAGCTCTGATATTGTAGGTATACTCTTGTCAATCTGTCAAGGACAAGAACTCGATGAAAAAGAAATTCAGTCAAGTAAGCCTTTACTCAAAGAAAGGTAATAAAATATAAATAAACAAGTATGTATATTGAAAGAGAAACTAGAATGGCTATTGCCAAAAGATAAGAAAACTAGAGACCCTTGAAACCAAATTGGAAGCAAGAAAGGAGTTGACAAGAATGAAGAAGGCTTCACTCTTGTCTCTATATATACTATCTAACTAGGGGCTATGTGGCGACATTCTATAGGACCTCTAATATGTGTTGACTTTGTAGGACACATGCCTTGACTTACAAGGCAAGTTTTTTTATGTGTGGGCCATATAGTTAGGTTGATCTTCAAGCTAACAACATGTGTGGCACATGGCCAACTTATTGACGATGTTTCTAATCCAAAAAATCAATTAAAGACACCTATGAAGTCAAAGCAATGTCTATGAAGCTTCTAAGAAGCTTCCATATTAAATATTATAGAATTAACTTATTTTTAGTTACTTTTACTTACTTCCACCTATTTGTATATGTAATTACTAGCTTACATGAGTATGTCCGTGACAAATATAGGAGTAAAAGGACAAAGATTTGGAAAAGCGTAAGGATACAAGCATCAAAAGATTATGGTATAAGTTTCTCAATAGATGAAAGGTTTGAAAGGATTTCAACTTGATGTGACCTTAAGAAGCTTGTATGAAGTGGATACAAGGCTCTAAGCAACCATGAATAAATCGTTGGCCTTTTTTAAACAAGTTTCTTATTCGGTGATTGTAAATCACTTATATATGGTAAAGAAGGATAGTAAGGAGAGGCCGGCTTTAGTTAAAGAGTTCAATGGCCTTGAGAAGTCTAAGTAGGGATGCAAGTCCTCACGACCTACAATTAAAAATATGAGCTTTCTTATCCAATAATTGAGAGAAACTTGTGAAAGTTGGAGGCAACTATACATTAAGCAAAAAAAAGATAGTGTCTCATGTCATTCATGCAAATAAAATCCCAAATTTTTGAATAAAAGAACAAAAGTGGCACTAGGTAGAAAAGAAACCATTTACTCTATCTAGGCATGGGATACAAATAGTGTTGAAGCATCTTAAAGAAGAATGAATTTGACTTCAATAGAAAATCTTAGCTCATAGAAGAGGCCAATGTATCAATGAGGATATTGACTCTCCAAAGTGGAAGAAGGTGTAAGGGTTTGAAGGACTTGACTTTTGCACTTCCTTGAGCTAAGTGTGACGTAAGGATTCCTTGATGTCTACGAGGAGTTTGAGATGTAGTGGCAATGGAGTAGTTAAGAGAGCCACCTTTATTATTTTGAAATAAATCTCACGTCGGGGTGTAAGGTGAGCTGAGGAATACTATAGTGCTAGTGTATTATAAGTGCTTAAGTGGCACATGAATCATATGCCCTAGGCATCTCAAAGGAGAAATGGGCTTAGATAGATTAGGAAGTAGCTTGAAAGATGAGAAACATCCCCTCAATCGACTCTTGATAAGTGACATTAGATTGGTAATTTGATATCGTGCAATGGAATAGGCTTGAGGTGATGGCATGTCCCTTCCAAGAGATGGGACGTGATGCTATGTGTATCTTGGCTGTTGGTGATTACAACACAACTCAAGTGGACATTGCACCTTGAGGTTGCACTATACCTTGCGGCTGTGGCCTAATATTGTTTGGCGCCTGCATGGTCTTAAGGGTTAGTAGAGGTTGGTTAGGTTCTTATCTACAATATTTTCTTATAAGTAACATTACCTTGGTGGAATTTTCAGATGATTGGAGGTGCATTGTGACAAGGCGATGTTACACACTATTGTAGGATCGTTTGCAGTCTCTTCTAGAAGAATCCACATAACTCACAAGGACCTCATCAGGTTACAGCTTTTAAATCCCAACATTGACTGATTGACTGTATAGGGAACACACACATATACATGTACACATGTACCTGGTATGGCATTTACAAGACAAGTATCCCATCTGGATTTGACCCTAAAATTAACCTAGTGAAAGGGTTGTAGCAACAGACATTTACTGATTCTGTGCAAGTTGGGGTTGACTTGTGGATCTCGTAGGTGGTGATTAGGGCTAGGCTCACTTCTAGGTCGCATGCTGGCCGCTCATTGCTGGCGGCACACATGATTGACTGTGAGTGAAGTTTTCATTACTTTTTTTGTTTTGTTTTGTTTTGTTTTCCATTTGCCTTCGAGGTGATCTGAAAGGGCATGAAATGCTTAACTTGAGGAGCACGTCATTCAAATGGTGCAAAGGAACAGTGTTTCTGTGGAGGTTGAGGTCAAAAAGTGGTGTGGTGTATGATGGCACTTTAAAGGATTTTCAAAGGCTTGAGTATTCTGTAAAAAATTTCATGTTATCACAGAATGAAAAGTGGTACCAAAAAGAGATTGTGATTTTGTATAGAAAAAGTTGGTGGTTTGAAATTTTGATTGTGGAATTCCTTCCTGGGTCTGATGAAAATTAGCACAGGAGCATTTATATTGTTTTAGAAGAAAAGAAGAACATGAATCACTCACAGGATACCCCTTTTTTGTTTTTTGTTTTTTGTTTTTTTGCTTCCTTTTGTCTGTTAAGTCATGATTATGTTGTGTTATGACTCAGTTTTTCTACTATATGACTTTAAAACATTTTATTTGGAATTTCGAATAATTTTTTTTGATATATTAGCTTAACAAAGAGAGAGAAAGGAAAAAAGAGAGAGAGAGAGAGAGAGAGAGAGAGAAGCAGTGAATTTTAATTTTCTTCATTAAATGATTTTTTTGCTTTCGACAATAGTTTTACTTTTGCAAGATTACATTTTTATTTAATTATTTTTGTATGTTTTAGACTACGTCTTGTTTTGATTGACCCCATTCTTTCTTAACTTGATACTTAGATGTGTTATTCTCAAATGAAATATTTAAGCCTTTTTTTAGAAGTGTGCGTTATCATTTTTTATTTTTATTTTAATAAATATTAGATATTGTAAAAACATTTCTTAAACTATCCATTATATAATATTGTTGGTAATTTTCCTTCGATTTTCTATAATGTTTCAAATTCTAATTTGAATTGTAATTTAATTTTATAAATTTTTTTCAAAAAACTTTATATCACGTTTTTTCTATAGCATTTTTTTTTAAGTTTGATTAAATCATCTATCAGTAATAATAATTTTGTTCAAAATTTTAAAAATTTATTTATGATTATCTTAAAAAAAAGAATAGTTTCCAAAAGTATGAAGATACAAATAATCAAGTAATGAAAATTGTAACAAATTTCATAAATATCCCAAGAAAAAATGACTAATTATCAGAATAAAAAAAAACTCATTCCACCATGTCTTTTCCTCTCATAGCCCCTTCTCTAATTTTTTTTAAAGTATAAAACGAACTAAATGCAGCTTTTCAATTTTAACCCACCACAAGCCTTTAAAAATTGAATTTTGCCTTCTCACTTTGGCATACAGATCTCCTAAAATTGTGTTGCTAAAACTTGACAAGCATCAACACCAAGATGCAAAGACGTAATTCAAATGCGTTCGTGGTTTTACTGGATCATGAATCATAATACCCTGTCTTATTCTCTGGTTAGGAGAACATGTGTGTGTTTTTTATTTTTGGACCCAATTCGTGTGTTCTAGCAACTATTTTTATAATCAAACTCCTGTGTCTAGCAAACCTAGACTCATGTAAGACTGGTGCAGTGCATACTATACAATTTAAGATTGGAATACAACATAGTCTTACTGCAACAAATATACTTACTAAATTCCATAGAAATTTGAAGCTAGTTGAGTGTAACAAGCCGCTGGCAAGAGAGGGATATATTGGTTTTAAGCCTTTGGATCAAACCCATACTGTAAACGAGAAGCATGCTAATAAACCATATGTGGAAGTATGATATTCTTACACCTGGGCATGGTAGTCTCTAAAATCAAGTGTTGATGAAATAGCTGGATGCCTAGCCATACTATTCAAACGTAACTAACCTTCAACAGACTCAAAATAAGCAACTTGAGGTCATTTCATCTGTACATGAGGCTCTACAGTTGCAATCAAACTATTTACCACACTAAAGTGTGTTAGAAAAACCCAATCCAAAACCTGTAATCGTCACGGCTTGTTTGGACGATCCAAACAAGAAGAAACACGGCTCACTCGTGAATGAGAGAATGAGTCTACCCACCAATGTAAAATTATAATTCGTCCAAGCGATATCTCTTACTTGTGAGCTTAATGCAATTTAATCGAACAAGTGGGCAAGTTTTGACAGCAACTGTGATGTGGGCTTAGTTGGTCTGTTGTGGCAGTTTCTCCGAACCCATCCTATCTGATTTCGAGCGTTATCATATACAACAAGGTAGCCCCGCATTGACACATCTGCAACATCTCCAACCAATAAAATATATCAGCTAGAACAGCAGACGCTCTGTAAATTTAAGCATGTGATAGTTTTACCTTCCAGAGTTGACGTTTAGTCTCGGAATGGATGCTCTTACACAGTAAGAACTGCTATTTCATCCAGACATGCAATGTTTCAAAGGTTTGAGAAGGATAGGTTCGTACCACCGATAATATTTGTAACCTCCAAACTAGCACCACTTGCATCGAGAATGCCGAGGCACACGTTGCCTTGGGTCTGTACTTATGCCACCATGTTCTTTATCAAATGTTGTTTGTGAATACAAGCCAGAACTGGAATTCAACATCAAAGTGAAGGAAAAGCCAGCACATAAAATCACGCATTACATGCGATGTTGTAGCAGATCCTATAATCTACATTGAGTTATACGAAAAAAACGTACTGACGAATAGTGTGTTCGCTCAAAAGCAGGAAACATGTGTCGACTTACCGAAACAATGAGATAACCCTCAGGAGAAAGTTCTAATACCCTGCTTGCTGAATACCAGTTGCGTTTACCGAAGTCTAAGGTTACCGTCTTGAAATACCGTTGCACATCTGCCACAGATCTGCTCCAGAGCAGCTCAACCTTCTATTAATACAAAACTGCCAAGTTGTTGTGAACTCAATGTCTCTCTATTTCATTATCATATGAACTAAGCAACGACATATAAGATCAAGAAAAGCATCTTTGAAGGTTACATAATGAAATAACAGAAGAAAATAGCATCACGGTACTAGTTTTCCTTAGCTCTCCGGCAACAAAAGCATCGAAGTTAGAGTAGAGCAATGTTCCTCAAGCATGCTTACTCGAAAGGGGAAGGACCACGCCAACAGAAAGGCAAGGTGTTGTCGGTCTTGATCCTCACAAGTCCACTCTTCTCTACCTGCATTTCCATCTGTTTCCAAAACATCCCCCCCCCCCCCACCCAAAAGTATTCAAGAAGGTGACATATGGCGTTCAGCTGCTGTAAGATCTCAATTGCAGGGGGTCGTCATGCATTATAAACTAAGTCGTTTTTGCTGAAATTCTCTTCTGGTTTAGCGACTTACAGCAGAAAGAACTGCATTATATGCTTCTGGTACAAGATACGTAAAAGATGTCCCGCTATCAAACATCACGCCACCAATGTCCCCCGTCTTGTCATCAGCATCCCCCGACTTGCCACCAATATTCCCCGTCTTTTTCACAATTTTTAGCTCATCTCCTCCATACCTAATGCTCTGCAGACGTGTCTGGTAACCATCCCTGTATCCATGTACACGCGTTACTATCACTTGTCAAACAAAATCCGATTTTCCGAAAACATGAATGTACTTCAACTACGTCATCTTTGAGTCAATGCATTTCATTTCTGAATGCATCTGTTAGGGCTATGAAGGCAACGTTACAAAGAAATTAGCAGTATGGAACACCAGAGTTTTCCAAACTAAAGGGACATAATTGTACACTGCGATGTGGGCTACAACTTACACAATAGACTTGCCCATTATGGGGGTCCATGTCATGCCCAAAGCCGGTACCAACGAATCCCCAAAGAATAAATAACCACCGCCATTACTTCCGCCAGCCAGACAATGACCTATGACATTCCTCACAATGCCCTTCTTCGCTAGCTGAGAGGGAAGAGATATCTTGGCGCTACTCAAACCCATTACACCATCCGTGCTTGCTGGAGTTTGTGCCAAAGTACCCTGCTGATCGTATCCACACCTGTGGTCCAAGCAATTCATAAACCGTTGTGAAGTGAAACTGGTCATTGGAAAAACTATTCACATTTGGAATGTAAAGGATCTGAATTAAGGAGCACGATGCAGAAATATTACTACTATCACGAATAATAATAATAATAATAATAATAATAGATAGAAGGGAATCGGCCAACTTAGGTAGCGTCATGCCATATGGACTTAGTCGATGGGAGGCAAGAGAGTTGATTATATGTACCCAATGATGGCCGTGGTTTTACTTCGAGTACCATTGGTAAGAAGAAGAGTGATAGTATCTTCCATCAAGACTCCCATCGTGGAGCTGCCATCCGCATATTCAACATCATAATCGCATTGACGAACAGGTCCTCCGCAGGCATACGAACCTCCTTGTTGAACTAAAGCACAGAGAGGAACGCGACAATCGACTAATCGGGCTTTCTTAGGATCATACAAGCCATGCGGTCCCTGCGCGAGCACACATCTTCACGTATCTTAACGCACCGAACCACATTTCGCTAACTCAAGATACACATGGTTTCCATTTTCTGCACAGAAACCTGAATCCATAACTTGCAGTGGAGTACACAATTGGAAGCAGTCGAATTACCGAAGCACAACTCCGGCAAGGTGCGTCGCATTGCAACCATGTAAGGTCGCTGCCTGTATCCATATCTAGATAGTACAACTTGGCAGGAGCGCCTATGAGCATTGCCATGTAATACAGACTGCACAACACATCACATCATCAGAACCACCGATTCAGAATTACATCAGACTTTGGGGTCCATATTTCTGTACACACTCTAAGAGATCATGCTGCGTGTGTAGAGCATAGTTAAGTGACATCGAAATTAGACTTCCTCAAATTTCCATGAGACTTCATATTGCTAATATACTGTGAAGACACCAGCTTAGAAAATGCTTGAAGTCAATCCAGTCTACACAAATGAAGGAAGATTACGCCGATTCTCTTGTCAGCGCCTAACATACCCGTCAGGATAAATGTTTCCTCGCAGCTGAGAGAAGACAGTGGCATTCTTGTCAGCATTTTCAGGCGTAGCAACCTTGCCGAGCCTCTTCATATCGCGCTCCAAAAGATTCCTTCGAATTTGAGCCAACTTAATAGGGGTTGCTGTATACTTAGGGTGCAGAGTGTACACATGTACATTCTTCTCCTCGTCTTGCTCCTCCAGCTCCATCTCTGAAAAGTAAAGGCTTGGCAGCTTATATGCTAGAAACAGGGCTACCAGGAACATCAATTTAAAAAGCACCATCTTCCTCAGTATCTTCCATCCACGCCTCTGCCGTGAGGGAACTGGGGCTGATGGGGGTGGAGGTGTAGGTTGCAGCTGTTGTCGCACCGGCTCCTGCACAAATTGCCGCACATGCTGTTGCTCTTCTTGCCACATAGCAGCGCACATTGTTTTCCCACCTTCGCCGTCAATCCCCGGCAAAGAGATTATGACGACTCCCCGCATCTGTTGTGGCGCAGAGCTAGCCACTGACTTTGCGCCTGAATCCATTGGATCATTAATTGACATGACGCCTATCTTCCTACTCAGTGCTCCACGGGATCAGCCACTGCAGATCAAAATTTCCGCATGGTCCCAAATCAACCCTTCTAAAACGTAACCCTCGTCACTCCTCTCAAGACTAGAACAGACTTAAATATCCAACTACATGTTGATTTTCTCCTAAAGTAGGCATTGCGTTCAGTAACGTTACATAAAAAAGTGGTTCTGATCCCTGCACTCCACAACTCCAAATTTCTCAAATTGAAGAGATGCCGCCACATCTTCCAAATTAAAACCCCAATTTTGCCGACAGTTCACGACCTTTTTGTTTCTCGCAGTCTCACCGTGTGCTACCCCCGACACCGCCTCTCCCACCCCATCTCTCTCTCCTCTGAAGTCCTACATTACTTCTGACACATAACTCAAGGATAGTTGCACGAATCGCCGAAGCTTCACGGTCACACGGTTTCAGAAGCAACCTGCATGTCAGGAGAAGAATGGAGGGAAGTAGGAAGGAAGTTAGCAAAAGGAACCTTTGTTCAACGATTCAGCCGGTAAAGCTGGCAAAGGTATCCATGACAGCAATTTCCAAGCTTCTGAACGAGCTTGTTGGTCGATTCTTTCCTTGATTCCTTTGCGTGTGGATACTCAGCCTCTATTCTACCCTTAATTTCCTCTTCAGATTCAGATTTCTCAGTTTTCGTGATCCTCAAACATGCTATGGTGCTCCAAATAGATTGAAGACTCTATCGTAGGTAAGAGGGCTTGGTTACAGTCATAGAATTGTGAACAGGCTGTTCGTTAAAAATTGCCGACACGATGTGAGATAGAATGGGGAAGCATCAGTTTAGGTGATGAGAACAGAAGAACGGTATGTTCCTTACGTGTACGTATGTAGACATCATAACACAAGTGGTTAACAACATTGTATTTGATTTAATAGTGTTTGATGAACATTGATTCCAGATTGACATGTGCATTGTGCTAAATTAGTAAAGTGGAGGAGAAGCACCTATTGCTACAGCGGATTCTTGTCACAATAGTGACTCTAGGTCTCTAGTTACGTGTTTGTTCTTCTTTGTGCAACGTGTCAGGCATCGAAATGCCTAGGCATAGCGCTTACAGCTGCTGCTACTTGACTTCCTTACCTTAAAATCTGCTACCTTGCTGTTCTAGAATGTCCTACCAGTGTTTGGCTATTCAACTGTTCATCATATGGAGAAACTAAAACTGTATTTCGAATCTTGCACCATGTTGTATAAGTGAACGATCATGATGATCTGCAAATAAAGAACATAAAGCAGTTCACACCAAAGCAACTTAATTCTGCATGGATTAAGCACTACTCCAGATAGTAGGACTTCCAAACTGAGTGATCAATACAAAGACTTAACACACAAAAAACAGTACATAGCATATATTCCCAACCAAATGAATGTAAAAGAACCCTTGGCGGGTTAATAAAGGAAACACTTATTTCTTGAATATATAGAGTACCACCTCGAGCCTGAACAGAAGGTGTTTAAAAGAAAACCTTGAGTGCCAAGGTTCACCTAGTTTGCAAAGGTCGACTTCCACTGTTTGGTAAGCCGTGCAAGATTTTTCTGGACAGACTCTGAAACATTACATCCACTGATGGAAATTTCAAGGCCCTCTTGTGAAGCACTCGGGTCTTGGTCCCGACTCTTAACCGCCCGGTCCACCGAAAGTTTCATAGCATCCAACGGAATGACCTGAATGAAAACGATCAACTATCAGTGCTCATTGATCTACTAAAAATAATCGATGCAGAATAAGTAAGACATACGATCATAGTATACATACAGCTAAAGATCCAGGTAGTACGTAATAAAGTTAAACAAGATTGAATCCACGTATTAGCAACTACGGAACATGTATTTATGTCCACACAATTGACACTCTTGTAACTTGTGAGATAACTCGTCTTAACCAGCATTGTCTTAAAATAAATGACCTGCTAATCACATTACAGCATCTTCAAGTACTGCTAATTTACCACCAAGGTAGAAAGCGTAAGCAGGTGACAATGCCTCAAGCTTCAATAATCTTACCAGTGTCTGCAAGAGTGCACAATTAGAGAACAGCATGCAACGCAAATTTGGAGAATATAAATATACTTCTGCGAGGTTCTTGCAGCCACAAGCGTCCACCACTTTCAGCACCCGAGATAACACGTTCAGTCTGTGAGCACACCAAGAGATCAGACACCAAGTTTTGAATGCAGATAAAAGGGCAGGTTGCTGAGCTGTTGAGTTTAAGTAACGAAGATGATTTCATGAACATCTGTAAGCAAGATCTATGTCGAAGTGCGATCACAGTTGAGAACAGGTTGGAGAGGTAAGATTTCACAGTTGATAACATTTTGTAAACAACCTATACATTTCTCCTAAAAGCTATAAGAAAACCCTATATGCAAACACACTTTGACCAGATAATCACAACATACCTTTTAAGAGAAGAGCACCCCTGGACTTCTACACGAACTAGAGACATTTGAGGTATCTCTAATCGTTCTAGTCTGTCGCAACCTCCACAACGAAGTTCCCGCAATGCTACAGCTGTGTCAAGGATGCTAGAGAAGCCAGCTGGTGACAATAAGCGACATCCATATACATTTACACTCTGAAGTGAAGGACACGTAAACCTTGATAAAGTCGCCAATGACTCTGCAAACCAGCCCATTCCACAAGTCATAACCGTCAGTCGATAGATCTAACAGCGAAAACACCGTACGCTTTTCAGCTCCATACGGGCTAATAACAATGGAGAACAAGTAACTTCTGTTTTTCAACAAATGCAGGAACTTACCGCATAGGGACAGATTGCAAAAATGCAACTCTGGACATTTCAGCTGAAGACGGGATAACTTCTTGCAGTTTGATAAGTTCAGTGTTTGTAAGTAAGGAGCCACCAAGTGGAGATCTTCTAACTGTAAACAAGCAAAGAATCCATTAAGAAGCATTAGGTGCGCTGAAGAATCTGCAGCGATTGACATGATGATCAGATTTGATCCAGAGACAGGTTGATTACACCAACAAATAGAGTGCAGTGACTTGACAACACTGGTACATATCAAAGGATTGCTCCTTCAACTCTCTAAAAAGGCAAACAACTCTTAACCATCCCGTAACTCCTGTACCGACGCAATGCATGCAAAGCAAATAAGGGTCATTTATGCATCACAAATTCCAGATAATAAGAGCCACTTGCTCTGTGGTTATAATTATCTAAACCAGTTATGTAAATTACGGAACGTAGCCCAGCCAATTACTTCCAGAAAGGAAAACCAACCTTTGAACAGCCTGCAAGGTTAAGCTGTAAAAGAGAACCCTCAACTGAAAGTTGTATAGACAATCGAGAGATACTGGGCAGCTGAGTTGCTGTCAGAACCTCCAAGGCTGATACTGGAGGAAGCCGCAACCCCGCACTAGTCACACCAGGACACCTTGAAATGTCTAAAGAAACCAAAGATTCTTTCGATGGACCCCTAAGCAAAGCCTGCATCGAACAATAAAGACCCTAGGTTAAAAAGATAGTATTTTGCGTAGTACTATCCAAAGAAAAGACACAAAAAAGCAATTTTGACAACCATATCACCCCCAAAATGGATAAGGATTATGGGATGACCTCAAACAGATGCACATCCAAGACAACATAGAAATCTAGGGACATCGTAGACACACCTGAATTCCTTTGTCAGTTATATCACTGCAGCCAGCAACGGACACTGACCTCAAACCCTTCGTCTTCCAGTGCTCTTCTTCACTGCCAACCACCAAGTCAACACTTTAGAGACTACACACCCCACATTAGGAGTAGATTCAATGAGATCTGCGTAAATGAGTGCGCAGAGGACCCACCATCTTGATCCAGAGACTCTCCAGACAAAATCGACTACTATAAAGAACAGAATCCGAGCGCAGGTCAAGTTGCATTACTTGAAACACATTTACTAAGAAAAAACTTCAGCAAATCATTCAAGAATAAGATTTGCGACAAAGCACTTAGACTCAGCTTTCATAGTTTCGATAGACGAACGTGTTTGCAATTACATCCAAAGGAAATTATGCAAGACATGCTAAAAAAACAATCAAAAGAATTTACTCCTAAAAGATAGATTTACTTCAAAAGCAGGAGCAAATGATACACACCTATCCATGAGAGAGCTGATAAAAGAAATGTGGACAATAACACCTTAATGGTGCGTAGAAATAGTATATAACAGTGGTCATACCCTTTACCAAAGACGATAGGCGTTTCCATCTGATACTCCAGTGCCTCAGGGACAATGTCCTTATTCTTGCCATGCTTCATCATTGAACCAACTTGCAAACCTTCTAATCCTTCCGGTAATCGCGTCGACTCTTGTAATTGCTGGGAACCCTTTTTCCCAGATCGCTTATGCAGATCGAGCAGATTCATTTGAGAAGAATCTTGGATCTCTGAACTATTAGATCTTCTGCCCGATGTGTTCTCTCTGAAAACGAATTGCAAATTAGATCCACAAAAGCCCATCAATTCATAGGTGGATAAAAGATTAACGGGTATCAAAATAACACAAACCTAAAACAAAAAGGAGAAAACGTTTCTGCGAGGGATACATATGAATTTAAAAGTATGATGAACTTGGTACAATCCACTGGTTAGGAGTCAACTTTAAACGAGTTGCCAACTAGGACTTCGATTTGTAATGCAACGCATGCCAAATACAAAATCGTGTATTCGAATTGCAGGATCAGTTCATGAGATGCACCTGAAAACCATGAAAAGACCAACATCAGAATGCGTTGTTCTAAAAGCTTCTACGCGATCCTTTCCAGACTTCTTGCCTGGCAATTCGAGCCGCTGGTCTACAATTTGTTTGGCCCCTCCAACTCGAACAACTTTTGAAGCTTTAAAATCCTGAACTAATTTGTTGTATTCCTCCTCCGAAGTGCTTGCACGAGAGTCCGGGATGTGGAGACTCCTCCGGGTAGCGAGCCTCCTATCACCTGTAAAGCACATTATAGGGTCTTAGCACAGCTTGCGGGGTTATGATTTGCTTATTTGAAAATTGCAAAATCGACGGCTAAAAACTGATCAATAATCCAAGCTCTTTCAGCAGGTTAATTGAGATACCTCATTGTTGAACAGTGTACGTATTTGAATTGAAAAAGAAATGGAATGCCCTCCGAAAGTAGAAGAGAATGATAAGTGAACAAATTAGGCTAGCTAAGATTTGAAGAAGAGATCAGAATCCAAAATAGCATTCAGCAGATGACTACGCAGAATAATGTTAAGTCTAGACGAGAATTGACAAGGGCGTCACCTGAAGTTTCAAAATCAAGACTTTGATAATTGGTCCCTTTTCCATCCTCTTCTACGATAACCTTGTCAAATCTCCTTGATGAAGCTAACTTAAGATCATCCCTTTGAAGGAAGTCCTGTTTACTAGCACAATCTAATAAGCCCTTGTTCCCTTTCTTCTTCCGAGTATTAAATAAATTGAGTTTCCCCAGCTTTCGGTCTTCCACAATTAAGCTCTCAGCGGGTGTGTATGCACAGGGGGAAGTATCGTTACTACTAGAGCCAGACGGATCCACGGTCCTTGTCGGTACCTGAACACTGCTCCATTCTATGTGAGGGAGGGCAAAATGCTCAGAATCTATATCTATACAGTTCTTTGTATGAACACTTGAAGCTAGAGGCGATGTCACATCCAAATTTATTCTGGAAGTATTGGAGGGAACCATGTGAGAAGAACTATCAACAGAAAGCGCTTTCAAGGCCGCCTCAGCATAACTCCTAGAAGGTAGGGTTGGCTTCATGGTTTTTGAACTTTGATCAGCATCTACAGCAGCCCTATCAGATGTCTCCCGAGGAGTGAGAGGGAGTCCACCAGACGAAGAACTGAGTGCTCTAGCAGGTCTCCATGAAACGTCCTTCGTCTCAACTTTGCTAAGCTTGGAATGCGCATTCAAGTTAAGATCAGGCCAAAAATCATCATGGGCTTCCCTAATGGTTTCAGGAGTTTGTGTAACAGGCGTGTAAGATTCTGCTTCTTCCAACAATTTTGTACCAGAGACCTCAGGAGTAGAATCACCAGGAGTGGGCCTGGGCTGCTGGTAACGAGAGAGAACTGTAAGGGCAACATCAGAAATGCCGCAACAATTTGCCAGATTGACATCTTCCAACTGCCGAACAAAAAATAATATTAGCTCAATGTAAGCACAGGATGCTTAACCACGACGAAAGACCTCACACTTGACTTCAGCCAACTGAATGAGGCATATATATATTCGAAAGAAAAGCATTAACAAGTACCACCAAGCATCAACAAGAGAGAAATTCACCCTTGAATGTAGAACACAAAGCGCGTTTACGTCCACGTCAGTCAGAAACCCACAGCTTTTAAAATCCACAGATTCTAGTGACCGCCGATGATACCACTTGCTATCCAGCTTGCCGCCCGCCGCAGCCTCTAAAATGGGCAAGAATTTCTTAACTTTGGAACCTGAGCATTGCATCAACGAAGGACGGTAAATAAACACTTTTAACAAGTGAACATCTTCCACGCCTTCCACACTGTGCAAGTTGATGGCTTCGTTGCCGAAGTAAGAAATCAGCTCTGTAGAAATACTCGTAGTTACAGTATCGTTCATGTCAGTGTTTTTAATTGAAAGATATGCACAATCGTTGCGTTACTAATTGTAAGCTGAGTGCAACTTGCCAACATGGCTTTTGCGAAACAAAACACAAGGCAACCGCTTAACCTAATGAACCAAAAGAAAACTATAAACTAAGAGTAAAAATCTTACTGCAACGCTTGAAACTTAAAGACTTCAGATTTCTATGAGAAGCTACCTGTAAATCACCAATAGCAGACCCCTGTCATATTCTCAGCATTGTTTAACCACATCACATAAAAGATAACATGTTGGGCATGAAATTAATTAAAAAGAAAAACAGGAGTGAGTCCTTGTTGAACATGCAACTAAGTGAATTACATAGCATCATATCAACAAGTCAAGGATTACCTAAATATAAACTTTCAAGCTTAATTGCAAATCTCACATACATTTAAAGTGACCCACCAAAACATCATACACATGCACGAGATGCACTAATCGGTGAATACTATGTGATACATGACCTCAGATACTTGATATTCAAGTACAGGTTCAATATATGCACAATCAATGAATTAGATGAGGTACATACAAAGCTTTGCAAGGCTGCAGGTGATAAATCAGGGGGCAATACAAGGAGTTGGACCGAGTCTCTAATATTCTTCACCACTTCATCGAACTCCTTGGAAACCTAGCAGAACAAAAGACAACTAATCAGATTTCCTCACTGTACAAACGCAAGCACAAGCGAAGTACACAGATACACGTGAAACATTTAGCTAAAGGTTATCTGCATCGAGAAACACAACTTACAAAACGGCACACAGATAAACTGACACATTATATGCCATGGACTATTCATATGAACCAGTAAACAATATCAAGCGCGAAGAAGAAAAACATTCGAAACAATAGACGGATGATAAATTTGCAAATTCCATGTAAAGGAATAAAATCAACATTATGTACCCTCAGCCGATTATAAAGCTAGTTTCTAAAAATAATCAACTGTGCTACTTTGATGAAGTAAGATATCAGCATTTAAAACACCACAATGTTCAATTCGAATAGCATGAACCACACTTTATTGGAGTGAACAGATAAAGGACAATTCACTAGAATTGAGGCTGTTATACACTGAATTGCTATCTTCACAACCGTAAGGAGAAACCGCAAGAAAGCATGGAGAACCAAACCTTTCAACATATTCTCTTCTATATTCTCTCATTTTAAATAGTCAGTCAATGATGAGTAAATGCAAATAAACATTGCTTCTTATTACAAAAGCAATGTAAGCACGTTGTAAAACTTGGACCACTATGAGATGCAACTTGTTTAACTCACACAAGAAATGACAACCTCGGGTATACTTCCGTATTCAAAATTATGTGTTCAATTACATAACCCACATCCTCCCAGAGCCCAACACATAGTGGAATGAGTAAAAATGTCGGGAGTAATTCATACTGCTCCCGAAAATATGTTGACATCAACGAAAAGTGGCCGCTTAGTACAATGACTTGACTCGCTATTTAACCCAAAAGTTCAAAGGATTACATATGATTATGTGAAACAACACAGCGTTATTAAACTCACTCTTGCAATTCGTGCAGCCTCTCTGTTCGATAAGCGCGATAAAATCATTGACTTGCATTCGTCCGGCAGAGTCTCCCAAAGATTGACCCCACTGCTGTCCTCCATACTTGCAGATTTATGAGAATACACTCGTAATACTTTCCGCGAAAGTATCACAAAACTGCGCAAAACATTCGAAGGTAATTTGAGGACAAACAATGATACGCTCAAATGAACTCTTAGACAAAGCTTAATTGGAACCTGCTATGTCAATGATGAAATCGCAAAGGAACATCAAATCAAGGCAACATCCTAAAGTGCAAAAAAAACTTTGAAGAATTATCATGCCCGATCGGCAGTTTGCGTCGAGGCAAGGCTTAAGTGCAACGAAGCGAGCTCCTGCAATCGGGAACGAATTCCACGCAAACAAGGTGGACGTAATAGATGTAAAATCGCGACAGCCAGACACATTTGACCTAGATAAGTGCCAAAAACAATATGAAGTCCAAAATTTTTGACCACAAAGATTTGGGCACCACCATTACAAAGTACACCCTGACGCTCCAGCAATGTTCCTGGACTACCTGTAGAAAAAGCAGATAGAAAAAAAAAAAAAAACAAAGAATATTCTCCAAACCTAAGGCACGGTGTCTGACATAATCTGCTCCAGCGTCCTGATACATCTGCATCTACTAATACATGATAGTAGAAGTCACCTGATCATTCAAGACAAGTAAGAATAGACACTAGATGAGAGCCACAGACAAGATATGTTGCCAGGTCCAAGGAGACACGTCTGAGGTAGCCAAAGTAAACCTATAATGTACTAAGCGAAAAACGGAATATTAAGCATACTTAGAAACATCATAATTTGAAAATGTTTTTAAAAACTGAAGAAAGGCAAAGTATGTGACACCTTTTGAAATCAGAACTCCCAAAACCACGCCATCCGATTGACTAAAAAATCATACAGAAAATGAATCAAGAGCAAAAATTAATAGCCTGCAAGTTTTACACATGTTTTACACAAAGCAGAAACAAAAGGATAACTGTTAATTCTTTGAAGTCCAATCGCGAAATTCATTTCCAAAAGAAGTTAAAGAATTACAACACAACTTCTACAACTGACCGAAATACACGACTTCGTTTGAAGAAATTATGCTTCACGATGAGGTAGGCCGAGAGAAAGCACTAGTTATAACACAAATCATCCTGGGAACATCCTAATGTTGCTTAATTTCATACATTTCAGCTAGACAAGTCTCATATAAGGCGTTCGAATCCGAGATTTCTACATGAAAAAACACTTCTTTCATTCGCCGACACAAGGTCGAGAAGGCGTAAACTTGGTCAATAAACTGAATGCCCCTCATTCCAACACCCCAGTCTCCAGTTATCGAAATTTTAAACCTTCAAAATGCTATCCAGATTTCACAGCCAAGGTACCGGAAGAGAATACGTATTCCCACCTGTTGACGAGGCAAGCATGCAAAGCCCCTCCTGCTTCAACTGCCTCAAACTTCCACCTCACGGCGATTCCAATAGCAACCAAGTTGCTGAAAGATGCTACGGCGTGTGCCCCAAAATCGAAACACAGATAATTGTTCCAACTGTGCAACTCCAGAGCATGGAAAACGAAGTTCAACAAGGGGAGGAGGCTGCGGCAGGTGTGCCGAGACGGTCAATTCGGAAACCCTGACGATCTCACTCTCCATGAAATGACAATTTTTTGAAACATGGCATGTAGGGCCGGGTAGCAGGGTAAGGGTCCTCAATCAGAAATAGCAACCACCGGTCAAACGAGATCAAGGATGATTCTGAACAATACCTAGTACAGGCCTCATACCCTTTTCCAGCCAAGTATTGATATTATTCTATTGCTGATGACTGCCGGTCGTTTCAAAGAAACAGAGGAAACTTGGTACCCTTAGATGCCGAGCACACGGAGGTGGTTGAAGGGCTGTGTTGGGGTGATTGCTGACACCGAGGATTGACGATGTGATATTCTCAATGCAAGGCAACCCATCAATCACGAGGGATTGTTAGATGGGAGTCCACGAAGGTGATTGAACAAACCACTTAATTTCTATTTACGTGAGCTTTATTCTTGTCAGTGCGTATTGGACACAAGCCGGCACAAAATCAAAGTAAGTTCAATATGGAGTGGATCCTTCTCATCTGGGATAAGCTGTTTGATTCGTTTGAAGGTTGGAGGTGGAAATTTGTGATAGTAGTTGACACGAAACCTATCTAGCAGTAACGTTATTAGGAAGACTGCGGGAAAATGCGGGTAGGAAAGTGGAGTACCCTGTTGTCGGCAGCGTTGCGTTGTTGTTTTAGAATAATTTTCAGGTGTGACTTGGACTCAAGATTCTTTCTGTATGCGAGGAAGATGTTTTTCCCCCTTAATGCTAATTCTGTGGTGATCGTGTAAAGCTTATGGAGTTGGGGATTCCCTTAGGGTGATTGATTTTGATGTAAGGGTGTAGTTGTTGGACTGTCTCTCTCACTGTACTTCACTGGAACTCAATTGTCTGTTTTCTGTAAAGATTTTATGATGCAGTCTGGGTATTTTTCGATGGAAAAATATGGAGCCATGCAGCAACCGAGTCCAACGCCGTCGACGCCGTCGACAGGCTTCATGGGTCCGCGGTCGTCGCCCCTTTTTTCAAATGCAGTGGATCAACCTGAGCCACCACCTCCAACAGGACAAGATGTTGACAGGTATTCCTTCATTGTTAGTGTTGACGGATCTTTGTAATTTCACTTTTCTTTGCCTCTCTTCGTGGTATCTACAGTTTTAAGCATTGAATGGCCAATTGAAGACCTAATACTCTCTTTATATTTTGTTACTTTGAGTTCTAGGGTTTGAGGTTTCAATGAGGTCATAAGACCGAGGCAGAAGTAATTAGTGTCCATCTCATTGTCTGCTGGGGAACTATTTGGAAGATTGCCAGTCATGTCGAAGATTGGATTATCTGGGTTTTCTTTGGACGTGTGGATTTTAGCTAGAGGCTCCTTAACAACATCTGATTCCTCAGGCCGAACTCGATGTCAAGTGGCCAAGACAGTGACCAAGCTCCTCCTCGGCATCTTGCCAACGCCCTGGATGGGCTTGGTCGGGCCGTCCGCCATATTGCCGATGTGCGGTCGGGTGCCGACCTGCTCCTGGAAGCGCTGGATGCTGCTGCACAGGTCCGCTCGCATGGGGCTGGAAACAAGAAGCCTAGTGATCGTATTCAGAAAGCAGCTGATGCCATGCGAATAGCTCTTGACGCACTTCGCGCCACAGGTAATATATCAGTAGTATTCTGTTGTTTAGCTTCACTTCCGTGGGAGATATTCCACATAGCTTCGACAGATTTGGTGTAACTGAGCAATCGTTACAGCCATATAAGATGCAGACTGAGATCATATCTTTTGTTACTGTTCGCTTATTATTTCTATGATGTAGCTGTTTTTTTTGGCGAAGGAATTGTATTGCATCTTGTTCAATTATGTCATACAATAGACAATGCGTGGTACGATATGTCAGCTTTTTCTGTCTTTTCTGTATTCTTTTAGTTTTGGCCCCGATCTTTATCTATTAGGGCCGTGAAGGAATAGAGAATACATCTATGGATTATGAGCATTTGAGTTTTGCATAGCACTTTTAGTATATGGAAAGACGATGGATATATTGTTTTTGGATGCATTTTAGGGTTATTGTGTTCACATGATATGATTCACACAGGGAAGGAGTTAGAAGCTGCTGGGGTATTGAATGGAGCACAACAGAGGTTCGAGGAGAACGGGCTTTGGAATTCGCCAGTGCCTTTTGTTGCTCCCGATGGATGGTTGGTTCCCTATGCTTGGAAACGCCAGATAGCTGGTCAAGCGGCAGCTACAGCGTATGAAAGAGCAAGGTATGGTTATATTTTGGGTGTCATTCTTGTCTGATTGGAAAGGTCTACCCTGTTTGCACGCATCGTTGTGCCGGAATATCCTTAAAATACTTACTCAAATACTCACCCAAGTATTTTAGGCTTGCATTGAAGGCATTTACCGAGCAGAAAAGGCGATTCTTCCCGGGTCTAGCTGCCACAACCACCTCTGTAACTGGAACAAAACGTCCCCGTAGTGAAGGATCGGAAACTACAGATACGGCGGAGCCTTCTTTACCTGACTTACTGAGGCGTATACAACCTGAAACTCAAGGGATGGTTGTCACACCATACGAACGCCTGGCTTGGGTGAAGAAATCAAATTTAAAAGCTGGAATGAGTACTACTTTCGCTAGCAGGGTGTTGACTTCCAATTCATCACTCTCAGTGAGGCATGGTAACGCTGGGACACCCCAACAACCACCTCAAGCTGGGGTTGACAATCCCACTTCATCGACAAGACAAGCTGAGAAAATAGCAGTTTTGGAAGCTTCAATACCTAGTGTTCTTGTGGCTGTTGTTTCAGTTATACCCGCTGGCTCCCTATATCCGGATGCAGTTGCACTTTTCTCCCCTGCCGAGGTAGGTTATCATATACTGAAATGCTATTTACATGGTAGTCGCGTTCTGCATGTTAAACCTTCTATATCATGTCTACGATAGTTTCGGGCTAATTTTTAGAATCGCCATCGAACCTCCTTTATCCCGTAAGATTTCCATAGTTGCTTGAATTTACACCATGTGTTGTTATTTTCTGTGTATCTTTGCTTTTAGCATCTATCGAGTTAGGACTACATATTTGCACTTCATTGACGTCACGTATTCAGAACAAGACGCAAGTCCTCTTCAATATACTATGTTGCAACTTCGGGAACTAATGCTTGAGATGCTACAGTAATTTAGGCATGTACATTAAGGAGTAGAATAATATTCTTTTGGTAATTTGTGCAGGCCGGCGGACACATTCAAGCATGGGGTGTATCGCAGCACAAACTGTATCAACGATTGTCGGTAATTGTTTCTTTGTTTACCCCTAGTACTAACAAACTTTCACACTCAACTTTTAGTGGGCTGAGTGCCTTTTATTTATTCATTCATTTATTTTTGTTTTATTTTTTCCTGAACGTGTATCTGTTCAACGTTCACACACTGATTTGTGATCTTTCGGCTGTCATGAGATTGACCTGACAACATTTTTCTTCCTCAACTGACTTTAGCATGTGTTACACCTTTACTAAGATAGACGAAATAAGATTAGGCTATTAACTTCAGAACCCGAACCTTTGCAGGAGCACGTAACCGCAACCTTGCATCAATTATTGCAACAAGATCGAACTTCTGCATTGGAGCTTCTCTTGGTATTGTTATTACAAACAAGTTCATTTGACTTTAGTTCGTTTGATTCTAAGTAAGATAAGACTAGCAACAAGTACTCAAACGAGATTTGTGAAGGTTGAGAACATTCTCGTCTGAGCATAGTGCAGTAGTATGCGTTGAAGATCCTTTGTGTATGGGACAACTAATGTCACCTTGTCCTTGCTGGGATTTTCAAAATGTTGCAGAGATGGCTACTTTCATATCGGACTCTTTTCACACAACAATGCTCGTAAGTTCTACTTTTCATGGGAGGAGTGATTATGAGAACAATACCAACTTTTCATGGGAGGAATGATTATGAGAAGAATACCAACTTTTCTTTCCAAAATTATTCATACAAAGCACCCGCAGGCACTGTTTTTTTAGAAGGGTGATCAAATAAACATCCACTTCTAACTGGAATGATGTGATGATATGTGGAGTTTCGTGATTCTTGGTTCTTATGGTTTCGTGGGGATGGCAGGGTGTGCAAGCATGTGATGGCCTACGATGGCCCATCCGATCTCATATTTCCTCCTCTGGTTCGGCCGACACCACGAGCAACCGTGCCATTAACCACTAAGAATGCCAAGACGGAGGAATCTAACGCTGACAATGAAGCACTTGCTTACCACTTGGGTTGCGTCCCGAAAGGTATGGAATGAGTGTTGCACCTTATTATAGCTCATTACCATGACCATTCATTAACGGCTCGCTTATCTTCTGACTTGTTGAATATCTGAACGTGACCGCCTGAGATTCGAAGGGGGTCGCTGGAGAGGATTTCTCTGGGCATCTTAAATGTTACAGGGTCATTTCCTCCATTGTTCAAAAATGCTACGGTTATTGGAACCTGGTTACACAGAAAATCAATCTGATTTTATTTACTTTGTGTCTACTTTGCCTGCACCAACGTGTGCAAATTGTGTAACTATATCCGGCCATTATTCAGTTTTCGAGGAGTTCAGTGTACATGCTTGTTTACGAAGTATAGCATGTCCTCCTTAGAAGCAGTGCATGCATGGAGTGGTTCAATTGAACTGTTAATATAGTATCTTTTCTTCCTGCTGGAAATAAAATAGGTTATTGTTTTGCTCGATGATAATTGAAGTTTCAATGTGCTTTTGTAGTAGAATCCACTTTTGATTGGTTTTGGAAGACGATGACCTGTAGATTGGGGGTAAAACCTTAATGTCTTGTGACAGCTTACTTGGTGCTGCTTTTCTGAAACTCACAAGTTCTCGATGGAAACTTTCATTACCTTGAAATGTAATGTGCTCTCCAGCCATTTTGATTAATGGTGATGGACAGCTGCGTCAGGAGGATTGTACTACTGATACCAGAGTTTCTTCGTTGTTTGCTCCGGGACCAGCCTGCTCATCTGCGATGCTAAGCTTACGCACCTGGGGGTTATTTCTTTCAATTCTTGAATCCCGTCTGAACTTGGGAAGACTTGAGAACGCTCAGGGTCAACTTATAAAGTCAGTTTCAAGGGTAGAATTTTCACTCATCAGCGATGTATCGGCCTCTGCGGTATGCGTCGCACTCTTAGGTTGCCTTGGTGAGTCGTTATTAAAGAGAATTCATGGATCAATTTCACATGGTTGAAGAAACTCTGAAACATGGGGCGGATCCAGTGCCAGCAAGTTGGAACGGCCATCAAGTTTGGTAAATTCAGCTGTAAGTTTGATCAGGAGTTTACCAAGCACAATCCTGAAGCCTAAAGTGCTTTTCATTTTGAAGCTAGAGTCATCAGCTTCTGGCTGTAGATCATTATTCAGCGAGCCCACCTGCAAATCATTCCGAACTAAGAAATGGAATATCTGAACGAAAAATCGCAGAAAAACCCCAAAATGCAGCTGGACAAGAGAGAAAGAAGCAGAACAGGGATCTCAACTATTCTCAACGTACAATCTGAACGGTGCGAATCTCCATCAGTGGGAAGTACCGCATGTCAAAGCCACTTTCTAGAAAGGCGTTCTGGTGGGGTGTTTGACCTCTTTAGCCTACTTTATCAGATGGTTTTTAGAGGTCTAACAATTCAAACTTTTTTCCAGCAAGAGGCTGCTCTAACCATCCTGCAGCTAAAGTTTTTCTCACAAGCGCCATGAAGCCCGACCGGTTTTTCCCGTCTGGAAACTAAGCTTGTCTGCACCACTTTAGCATAAGAAAAGCTTTGGATTTATTTGAAATGGAACAGGGTTCGGTTATCATGAAGCAAAAGTGAAATCTCACCAAGGCGCCATTCATGTACGCCGCACATATCTTCAGTATCGATGGTCCCCTCTCCTCGAAGTGCTGCCGAATCAGGAACTCAAAATGCTTCGTTCACAGCACATTTTTATCGCATCAAATTAGAGAATACCACATCAGTTCAAGAAAGATTCCTTGGACAAAACCAGATAGATGACGTTTTGAAAAACTCTTCTTATCCAAATGCATGACAATTTCAAAGTAGGGTAATTTATTCAGCGAGAAGGTTGGACTTCCTGTTGGATGTTTGTCCATAATGAGAAATTGGAAGCAGTCATTAAAAGCAGTTCACCATCGGTTTACGTAAAAATCTGAATAAGAACTATTCACCTGTGGAGGTCGGTGGAGTAGATACAACATGGATTTGCATGACAACAAGAGAGCGTTCTCGTTATACATAAGAGAGTTTCTTTCGCCTTCAGGGAGACCTATCTGTTTTTCATAGTCAGCCTCATTATAATAGGGAGTTGCATTAAGGACCAATCCTTGTATTGAGACCAAAAGCTGAAGTATGCTCGAATTTGAAGCATCCCAAACCTCGGTTCCTTTTCCTCTCCATGTGTTGAGAAGACTTAAACATACACTGCCGTTTTCATACAAATTTGGATTCAGCCGCAGACCGCCGGAGTGGTAGTATACTACCTGCAATAAAGTTTAATACATGTTACATAACATCTAGCAGATGTTGACAGTTAAACAAAGTGAATGCCTATGAGTTGCTTCTTCAGAAGTACTTACTGGAGGGACATGAGGGAATTCCTCGGATAAGTGGATGTCAAAGATGAAGAGACCATCATGATAAGGGGTAGCTTGAGCACCAACTATCGCAGCTCGGAGTAGGTCCATGCGATCCTCGCACACTCTGACATAGATTGAATCTGCAAAGCAAGAATCACAAAGTGTGTTCGGAATGTCTGAGTGGAAATGAGCCGCACAAAATGTAGTAACGAGTACCAACGAGCTCTACAGCAAATAGGTTCCACCCTGTACAGGAAAGTGCAAGGCCTGTCTGACGCGACGCCCTCATATTTCTTATTCATATTCATGTTTCTTATTTCTTATTTCATATTCATGTTTCTTAGACGAAACATGAGTTGGACTTTTAAGTGCGAAAATCTGCACGTAAGATTTCAATACAAGAGAGGCAATGCTCATACGCACCAAGTACCTAAATTTAATACTGCGCTTGAAGCAAGTAATAGTTAGATTCACCTGGAAGGTTCTCCTCAAGAATCGCCCATTCAGCTTGTATTTTCTTAGTCCATTTCCTCTGCGGGTTTGGCTGATACACATAGCATTCCTATTTCAAACTGAGTAATCGTTTTTACCACCTTGGTATGGGAATATTGAGAGCATGGAATAGTTAGATAATCTATATTTAGAACTTTTAAAAAAATGAGATCTTCACCTTCGTTAAGAGGTCAGAAGGGTTTTTGCTAGGAAGGACCTAAAATCTGCCTCCTGATTTTACCTCTATTGCAATTATGATAATCATGCTGCTCCATGTTTCAAAAGCAACACTTACGTGCTAAAATTCTATATGCATTGCTTCTACTATTCCCCTGTAAGTGTTCAAGAAAAATCGGAAGGCGCCTTACGCATGAAAGATTCACAAAATGGTGATCTGCAACTCCACAAACACAGTCAAATTGTTTGAAGCGCTCTGGCGGCTCTTGTGTTCCTTCATGTACTAGCTCTGGTTGGATTGAGGGTTCCAAACTACAACCAGAATATATGTCGGAAGCAAGAACAGGGTGTAATCCTGCCAATTGAGAATCAATTTGCAGTTGCATTGCTGAAGATTTCAAGAAATGTGTGCATTTAGCACCAGCAGCGTTTGCAAGGATATTATACTCCATTTTATGGCTGGAATCAATTTTGAAACTGAAGTCCTCGTTTCCAAAATTCTGATTGGCATCGTTGTTGGCTGAAGTCAATGAGTTTGGTCCTACCAGAGTACGGTGAGTGTCGAGCACTTCGTCTAAATTGGAACAACAAAGTGTACCTGGAATAAATACTAAGTTGGTTGACCGTGGATTCATTACTCGTAGAGCATCTGCCATTCGCGAAAATAGCTTCTTACATACGGCTAATGTACCCCTGTCTTGACGAGGGCTACATTTTGCTGAACCATCATCCTGAACTGCAGTTATATTCTGAATTGAAACTGCATGCGATGACATTGTTTTGCAAAGTTCCTTCACTTCGAAATTGCTGGTTTGACAAATCGCATGTGGAGATTGATCTGATATCAGTGTAAATGAGTTCTGACCTACCTCGACCTGCAGAAACATATCAAGAATGTGGTCACAAACAAGTAACGTTTCAATTTTCAATGAAAAGGTTTTGGCTCCAAGAAAAAGTGGCGTTACACTCTCGACCAGATAATTTCAACAATATGCAAAAGTATGTCGATTTGATGAAGAATAGCAGCTCTGTAAGCACTATTGCGAATGTCCTGTGATATGGAAAGCCAAAAAGATAGAAAAGGAACCCAACCTCTTCATCATTCTCCAGTGAGGCCCATGTGAGGGCATCATCACCATACATAATCTGTGACTCACTTGCTTCCAGTAGAGCTTCTTCATCTTCATTATTTACAACAAATACATCTGCTGGACCTACCTGTTAGAACGTTAACAAACACATGTTATATGGTGCATCATCTCTTAAAATCGCGAAATCAACAAGTGATTAAAATATTTAGTATTAAAAGTAACCGTAGTAGTTATGATTCATGTGAATAACAGATGGATAGAGAAAAATTAAGAAAAAAACCTTTGAAATGTTTCCGTCTGCCCACACCACTTGAATTTCTCCATCCTTCAAGCCAATTACGTTTCCAACCCATGACGTATCGACAGTTGGTCGATCGCAATGACTGCGTCTCCCTACCCGACCCCGCTTTCGACGGGGCCATTTACCTTTCTTGGGCCCTTCAATGCATTTACCACTAGCAACATCCAGTTGATCAACGCTCCCTATCTCTTGTTCGGCTTCAGTTTCACCAACTCGTGCAGCCTCCACTTCACGCTCAGACCATGGAGCTGATTCTGCGAAATGTAAAGTTGCGTTGATATTTCTTTGTATTTCACGTTATATGCAAATCTTGAGATATGACAGTGCAATGCTTTTAAAACTTTTCTCCTGCTGGTAGATTGAAGAAGACCTTGTTCAAAGTCCTTGGAGAAATTACTCGGCTCCACTTCCGGCTTGTTCATGGTCAAACGCATCACCACATCACCAAGACAGAAATTGAAATAAGGATGCTCAACTATCTCATAAACACTGACATTCTCTTCAAATTCAAATTCAAGGGGATTTTCGAAAGTCCCTGTGTGTCTCAGCCATCGGACTACACCAGTCCTTTGCATTGCATCAATACTTTTCATCACGCCTACACGTAGCCAAGAACCATCCGTGCATTAGGAGCAATGAGATTGGGCAAATAACATTTCTCTCCTTTGTTGCATGCAGATGTAAATCTTTCCCGTGCATTTTGTCTAAAATTGACACTTCCTACACCATTCTAACGTGGTTCAATGAACAAGTATCACGTCAAGTCTTCGTGATGTATCGACAAAAATCTATAATTTTTGTAAAAAATGATCATGATTACCTATTCAGTTTACAATAAGGAGTAGTTCCTAGGACTTGCTCGACTATGGTCCAATGATTTTACCAACACGGCGCTCTAACTGGTCAGTCCCTTCCCCATCGGAGCCTCTGTCCAGAACATATTGCTCAGGCCAAAATTCATGATCACCAAGGTATTCGACTGGAACAAGAGCAGAAGCCTCCACTCCATAAGACTTGGTTCCATCCTGCCATTTGACATCCACTTTGGTCTTGGTCTTTACCACCAAGGCAGCATGCTCTGCTCCCCGCTCCCTTTTCATGGCGGCTCTGCGTTCTTTCCTCGCGATCTTCGTTTGCTTCTTGATCAACTTTTCCTCATGAACATTCAAGGTATTAAAAATTAAGTCCTTATTAAGAACAGTGCGTGGTGTGATATCTTGATAATTGTCAGAATCCAAAGGACTACCACGGCCAGCAGGTGCACAACCATTGAAATACTGATCCAATGGCACTCCTTCTTCACCGGCAGCTACAGCATGTTCCATCGCGTCGAATCCAGGTGGCAGGAGAGGCCAATCACCTAGCTGCCAATTCGTGTGTGATATGTACATCAGTTGCAGAAGTGCAGAAGGTTTTTGAAACATTGCAGGTGCAGCTGAAGGTTGCGCTCCTGCGGATGCACCTGGTAGCATATCTCATTGAGCAGAAATATAGAGATAAACTCTACTACCATGAACTGCAGATTATGGATTGAACACCTGACGAAGGTGCAGATGCACGAGAATAAGCGATACTTGCATATGTTGGTCTAATATGCTGAAAAGAGGAAACAAGATTCCTAACTCTATGGGTGTCATCTTAAAGAAAGAGATTCTACTCTCAAAAAAATTTGAAAGATACACCTATCTGTGAAATTGTGATGATTTGGTGTCATTTACCTGTCTAGTTTATACACCCTATTTGATGGAAATAATTATTAAACTTAAAAGTTTCAAAAGCACACCTGGTAGAGTATGTGCAGAAGTTATCCAGTTAACCAACACTGATCCAACCTCCACAGCAACAACAGTACCTTCGGTCTTGTTAGGGTTCCATGTGCCTTTCAGCCACTTCGCATCTTTGAATACTCCTGAGGTAGCAACTCTCACCCGTTGGCCTGGATAATAAGGGGAGTTTGTATCGTCCATAAGGCCACCCTTTACAGGGAATAAACGTTCAGTGTCAGCTCGAAAGATCTTGCACTTAGCCCCACCTTCAAACATCACAGTTACGTTATCTATGACCTGTTCGATTTGGCCGAGCCAGTTGCCAGGGCCGATAACAAAATCCCTTGGCATGTATGAACGTACCTACATTAGATGGTACAGACTTGACAAAGTAAGTTCCTGACGAACGCTGGATACTGAGTCATTCGATATGCTACAAATGATTTTGCACCAGTATAATCATGTATTTACTGTTGAGATGCACAAAAGGGATCACTCACTACATGATAGGATTTTCACTCGTGCGGCTTTCTCGAGTAATTCAGGAACAGCTTGCACTATTATTCCAACGACAAGATTTCAGTTCATGCTTCAATTTACTCGCTGTCGTCAATTTCAGAAAAAACTAATGCGAGGCAAAGCGGTGGTATCCAATCCAAATTTGTTTACCTGAACCCTATTTTCACAGGATTACTAGTCATTTACACAATGAGAGTACTTGTGTGACCTTAGAATTATGTAAACGATGGTGAATGAGAAAAGTTTCGTAGATCACTGTGTCCAAGGGATCTAAACTCACACGTCGAAGTCTGCGGCTGTCAATTCCTTCTACAACTTCTCCACTGGGAAGCTCCAAATCCACGGACATGCTGATCTCCGTCACAATTCCCGTCTGGCCATCGGGATTAGCTGAAGTAGCAACAACGTCTCCAAGAACGAATGATCTGTCGAGTACGCGAAGGTCAGTGACATTCTCCTCTGTTTCCTGTGACCTTAGCCACACAATCCTAGCTGAGCCAGAAGGATTGCAAGTGTTTTCCCCGTCAACATCTTCGCATGTGATTGCCATGTTTGATGTGGATGTAGAATCACCGGATATTTCAGCGACTATTCCAATTTCTTTTGGATTTGAAACTTTTTGGACCAAATCCTCCCTGATGAGCTGTGTTTCTGGTTGCGGACGACCGGCCGGTCCTGCCAACATCTCCATGGTTCGCAGGTGCGAGTACTATTCGCAATCTGCGCAGAATTAGGTATCTAACCTCGTCGCTCGTGCGACCAAATGTTCTTTGTGAACTCTAAACAGATTCTCCAATGCAATTCAAGACTTCAACAAGTACATGTAACCTCGCCACAGTACATCCTCAGCTCAAATCGATGTATCTTTTCACAGGACGCCGTCTCCGCAGACCATGTTTCTCTCTCCCCCATACTTCACAATCGATCTTCTTTTGAACTCCTCCTCCTCCTCAATCTTGTTCAAGGCGTGTGCGATGTGTTTCAGTAATGGACCACAAATGAGGTTAGGTTTCATGATCATATTTGTCTGTAATCACCAATTACAGCTTCTTCACGTCTGATCTCCGCTTGTTGGCTCACGGATTCCTATTTCTGAAGCATTCTAACCTTCATCACTGAGTTTACATAAGAATGATGAAAACTTAGGTTCTCGTGTTCAGGCTTCTCAGCTTTCAAAGGATGAACACATCATCACTGAGTCCTAGTTTGTTACTCTATCTAAGCCACCTAGCAACCTTTGACTAATCGGAGGCATAGTATAAACGAATGCATTGTGAACCAAAATCATTTCTGCAATGAGAAAGTCAACAAACTCCAGTAACCTTTTCTCACAGCATCATCCCCCTCAATTCTTGCGTAGCTAACACCTTTCAAAGCAGGCCATGGAAGAGACACAGCATATCTCAGGTAATTTAAACAACGTTGCCTGGCAATAGAACGATGCACGTGCAATCTTTGAACGCCGTCGTGAACCTCATCAAAAAGCACGTCCGCTTTCAACAATGGCGGTCACAGAAGTCCCCCCGCGGACGTGGTTCCCCACAACCAAATTTATTCCTCCTCTCAATTGTGGTTCACTCCAATTCTGGGCACACATCCTGCAGCTATGTGGACAAGAAACTTTCAAATCCTCCCTTATAAAACCAAAACTTCTCATCAAGAATTACTGTTAAAAAATTGCCTAATTCGCCATTCGTACGCAATGTGAAATGTATCTTCACCTGAAAACAGATCTTGATGCAAAATAAAGAAAGATCCAAGCGGGGTTATGAGAATTGCGACCCATGGCGATTCAAAGGACACGCAACTCTTGAGCGAAACTGTGGCAGAGCGTGCTCACTGTGAACAAGCTTTCCTTGGTGCCGCGCCTTTGCAACGATGGCTTCTACGTCTCTACGCCTTCTGTGTCGTATATTTATACTGTATCCTATATTCGTATAGGATGTGTCTAACTAATTTTTTCCTATACCTTGTACGTGGGTACAAAGTTTAGCTTATTAAATTTACTATTTTAAATATACATACCTAAATTTATCTATATGTGCATATATTTAATCATACATTTTTTTGATTTGATAAAATTAAAAATTAACAAAAATATATAAATATTTAATTTTTATAAAATTCAAAGTATACTATAAATATGAAATGTATATATACATAAGTATATGATAAATAGATATATACCATAAAATTTAAATTATATTATATATACATATATAAATATATATTAAAAGAGTATATATTATCAAACATTAATAACATGCTTCAGTATATTATAAAAAATATTCACCTATATAGCCTTATTAAAATATTACATATGTACAACTTTAAAAAAAAAAAAAAAAAAAAAAAAAAGGACAAATAAGATGCAAACATGAAAACATCAAACATGCTTTAAAATTTTTAAATAATAATGTAACATTATAACATGAAGTTCTTTAAATACACTTATCTTTTGATTGAATAAAAAAGCCAACTCAAGATCCAAATAATATCCAACCAAAATGTATCTTCTAAGTAACTAACCAACTAAAAAAATCATCCTAATTACAAATTCTAATAAAAAAAACTTTCAACCACCGTATGTTCTTTTCAACTTTAATGTTCTACCAATTATATCAAAAGTGGACTTCTTTGTCCATTTCACTCAATTTCACCTACACTCCTGTATACCTCTTTCATCTCAAATTTAAACTTGAAAATTTCATGTACTATATTTACAAATTAAAACAATAATAACTACATTTGCTAGACCTTACAACACTTATTACATTGACTCATCACCATACTCTTATAATTTTGAATTTGCCATAATAATAGATACAAAATATAATTAAAAAAATAAAAAAATAAAAGTATCACTTTTTATACCAATTTAAAGCTCTTTCTATACCTATGTCTGTTTTCATTCCTCCTTATAGTTTAACCATCAAGCACAAACACATCTTCTTATCAAAAATTAAAAATGCTTTTATAACAAAGAAATTGCATTTGTAACCAATTAAATATTCTAAAACCATTAACATACATCTTACAAATAATTCTCCAAACTACATTTAGAGATATTCTTATAAAAATATTCAAATCCTTCACTTAAATCACAAAATCAATACAATCCATTAAATCACAAAACAAATACAATTTGTTAAATTACTTCGAATTTTATTGATATACACAAGTATAAACCTAGTTTAATATGATATAAAAACATTAAAGTATAGTTTGTAGAATACTATGAGAGATAAAAAAAAATTAATTCAAATAAAAAATATCATCACACTAAAAAAAACATTATATTTTATGAATACTTAGCTTCACTCTATTTTCATTCAACTTCTATTTATAAACTAATTTATTTTTATTTCAATAATATATACTTTTATTTCTCAATCAATATGACATGCTAGTTACTTTTTACTCTTGATAATAAACCAAATTGTAAAACATAACACTTCAAAAAATAGCCACTTACTCTTGCAGAAACTATTCTTATATACTTGCGCTCATGATGCAATTCAAATAATCCACCACACCCTCACCAAACCACTCCCTAATCCAACCAGATTTACACAACTGCATTTTTTGTTAATAAAGTAGGCAAGGCATAACAATCTGGGCATGTATGTAAGAGACAAGGCACAAATGTTTCAGCAATTACTACACAAGGCAAGCAAATATGATTGAGATTAAATGAGGCTCAATTTTTATAGATCTAATCATATTTAAGATGAGAATGAGATTAATTAGTAGCCATCATTTGCAAGACAAATGGGATATTCATAGAGACATCAAATGCATTGGCATGGAAACATATGGTTGTTGTAGATAGCCATTACTACACTAAAATCCGAGCACTTAATGTATGCAAGGAACCATCTTTTAATGTCAGCTTTTGAAGTAGCCATGTATACTTTATTGTAAATAATCCCAAAATTGGATTCAACCAAGATGATCTTATTGAAGAACAAATCCAAATTTATCCCACACAAAAATTATTACAAATTGTATCATTTATATCATAGCTTTAAAATATGGAATTGATTCTAGATGTTCCTACATCAATGATAGATCATTGCACCTCAAAGTGTGTTTTTAGAAAACTTTTTCATCAAAGCAATGACAAGTATGTCAAGTTTTGAGGCCACAAGTGAAAAATTGACAAATCAACTAGCTAGCTAGGAACAATAATTGCAATCAATTACAAGTTTGAAGAAAAAGGTATCAACAACAAATCTTAGTAGATTGAGAGGTTCAAATCATTCAAAGAAGAGGTTAAAAGAGCGGCAAACTTTAAAGCTATTTATCATTAATATTAAAAATAAAAAATATCATTCAACTTATTGAATAATTTTAAGTAAAATTTTGTCCAAATAATTAAATAATTTTATAAGTCCTTATTTTAATATTTTATTGTTAATTTGGTACATGATATTTATCATTCCTTGTGTAAAGAATTAATAGTAGAATTTTTTCATGTTTTATTATGTCTAAAATGAGATTCTAAATTATAAAATTTGTTTATTTATTTATTTCAAATTTGTGATTTTATTTTTGGTTGTTTGAATTTCAAAATAATAAATATAATAAATCAAAGAAAAATAGAATTTTCATAATAAAAGAAATAATAGTAATATTTTATTGATAGAATATAATATTACTATTATTATAATATTATCAATAAAAATAATAAATTATTCTTTTATTATAAGTCCAAATATATTATTCTATATCTTGATTCAAATAATTATTAAAATTAATATCTATATATATATATATATGTAGTTATTTTAGCATGTTTTGACATAGATTCTTGATTTTGTTAAGAACCAACTCTTTGAAGTAGGCCCAATAGAAATTCTAAACGACATCACTATTTATGCCATATAGGGAAAGAGTACAATCTATCTTATATTTTTTTTCTTAAGGCCCTTGGACTTACTTTCTTAAAAATAAAGCCAGCTTAAAGTCAATTCTTGATTTCAACTAATCATTAAAAATTTAAAGTTAAAGACTCTCAGCTTGTCTTCTTAGTATAAAGTTTTTCTTAGTGCATATTTACAAAATTAAATTAAATCCAAACAATATAAATGGCTTCTAAAAGATAAAATCTGATACTTTTAAAAATACTTTTAAAAATATATATATTGGTATAAAAGTTCTCACTCTTAAATAAGTATGTCTTATTGATTTTATATACGTGTTATACAAGCCAATTTTTTGAGAAATATATACATTTTAAAAAAAAAAAAAAATCTTTGTAGATTGTTGGAAAATAATCATTGTAAAATATTTTTGAATATTCTGATGTAATTATGGCATAAGTGAATAGTATACGTAATATCAAATAACTCTTCTAAATTCAAAGTTGATATACATAAAAATAGGAATTATATATATGGTGAACAAGTAGTAGAAAACATTAACCTTTAAATATTAATAGACATATCAGTATCAGAGTATAGTATGGAAAGTGAAAAAACAAAACAAAACAAAAAACAGAAGACGTTATAAAGAAAAATAATCAAGTATCCAGGACTGAAAGTGAGTGCTGATGCAACACTGGTTACATATTTAATATAACTTATAATAATAAATAAAGAAACTAATAGTTCAAAGTGCTAATGATTGTTTCTATTTTAACATAATTTTTGAACCTAAGATGGAAAATTAAAGTAAATCTGCAAAACTAAAGACACAATCCAAAAAAATTTACTAGAATAACTCTTTAAACATGTGTTCCTAATGGGAAACCCAGCCTTTTTGTGGATGGACACTATCCATCAACTAACCCATAATACATCCATCCGCCATGTGGACATTGCATCCATCCACGAAGTTACGATTCATTCATACCGCCAAGCCACATTCTATCCATCCGTCCAACACCTCGAAGCCAGAGTGCGTCGCAGCAATCAGCCAGCTTCGATCAGCTCGCATATCACTGCTCTACGTGTATCGACATTGGATCTCGAGATGCGTTACGGTATCAGTTGCAATGGCACGTTGAGAAAAGTCTGCGAGATGCAAGGAGAAGCTTGCCACATTCCTGCCGCTTTCACGCAATGATTGCCATCGTTCTCGTTGCAAGATTCGTCCTGGTGTACTACTCATGAGTTACTTTCGTATCGCAGGTTTGGCCGTTTTTTTTCCTTTATTAGTCTGACTTCATGAGAATGAGCTCCTCATATAGTCGACATGGTGACGCACTTGAGGAATCTCTTGTGTCAGCTTTGTGGGTGAGCTCGCAGCTGTGATTACTCTTGCCATCATGGAAACCAGTGGGTATGTGTGTCTAACTTTGAAGTACTTCGATGGATATCAGTGCGGGGCTATTGAATTCACTTTCGAGATGTCCTCGTTTTGATATTTTACACAGACTTCATGTATGTCCTCCTTTGAGTAGCAATCAGGAGAGTAGAGAGCAGGAGTGTAGCGTATGAAACTGTTTTGTGCAGTTTTGTTGCTGTCTTTGGGATTGTTGGGTCACTCCGCTATGGGTGAGTTTGTTCGATTTAGCGGCTCTGCCTTCAGCCTGAAAGGCAGACCGTTTATACCTGTTGGGTTCAACGCGCACTGGCTTGGCATTGACGAGGAGTTTGAGTATCCTTCGCAGAAGCGTATTGAGGAAATGTTTCAGGTTGCTGAGAAGATGTCGGCCACAGCGATTCGTTCGCACACCGTAGGTCACAGCTCCGGGCATACTAATTCATTGCGGCCCTTAGATCGAGAGCTGAATGAGAAGGCGTGGCCAAGTATTGACACTGCGTTAGCCATGGCACGCAAGTACGATGTCCGACTGATTGTACCACTGACGGATAACTGGTTTTTGTATAACGGGAACTATGGAAACTATTGCACACCTTATGGTCTTCCGAAGAACTCATTCTGGACTGATCGTCGGGTTGTTGATGATTTCAAAGACTACATAACCCGTTACCTCAACCATGTCAATACTCAGACCAGAGTTGCCTTGAAAGACGACCCATACATCTTTCTGATCGAAACCGGCAACGAGCTCGGAAATTCTGGGAAAAATGCTGATTCCATTCCACCTGAGTCCTGGATTAGGGAGATTAGTAGCCATATCAAATCGGTTGATTCGAATCACTTGGTTCTCGATGGCTGCGATGCGAGTCTGGGGCAATCGAACAACTTCCACATTGATTCTGTTGACGTATATTCACGCCATTTCTATTCGGATGATATAGATTCTTTGAACGCCAGTGCTACAGAAGCTGGTAAAGTCGGCAAGCCATTAATTGTAGGAGAATTCGATAGCGGTGCCTCGGAATCATGGCTTGCTGCGATGGAAAGCAATCCTAATGTAAAAGGTACACTGTTTTGGCATATGTATGGTCACGACGACAACGGGAATCGGATCAGACACAACGATGGGTATACTCTTTATTACAAGGAAGAGTCGAGTCAACCAGCCCTTTTACGACTTGCAAATCATGCGAGACGCATCCGGAACCTCCCTCTGCTTGATTCTCTACTCTAGACTGGTTAATGCTCGGCCGTCATGCTAATAAGATACTGAATATCATCTTGTTGTAGAGGTGCGACGCGGTGTCTACATTTAATATCCTACCTATAGATGTGAAATAAAAGGATTGAGTGCCTCATTTAGAGACTTGGGTGGTACAGTGTCGAGACAATCACATTACGGTCAAGGGAATTGATGTGAAAACTGCTGTGCAGTTGTCTTTTCAAATCAAAGAGTCTCAACAAAGCTCCAGAATTAGAGCAAACTTACAGGCACATTCTTTTCAAATTGTGGGATTGAAGTTTTGCGAAGTGTCCAGAGGTGGGCATTGATTTTTAGGCTTCGTTAGGGAGGATGTAACCATCTTGCAGGCCTGACCAGCTCCATATTTATGTGATTACTGAAACCCTGACTAGGCAGTAATACACATGAAAACGTGCTCAATTTGGAAATGATTCTTTCTTTGGCTTCAAAGGGAGCTGAAGTGTTGATGTGCACATTGCTGAACTGGGTGATGTGGGAGGTAATCAACAGAAGCATACACGAAATCAACAGAAGCACTTCTGCCTAAACCAAAATAAAAGCAGGGCGTTTTTGTTTAATTGAACAGATGTGCTGTTTAGGAATCGTAAAGGCAGTTCATAAGCAGGTGCCACACGTGGACAAGTTCATGTGCGCAATGCTTAACTGGTCGATACTCGGTAATAATGTATTTATCCTGCCTTGATAAGGTTCCTGTCTGATTCTACCTGAATTCCTTCACCCTCTCTACATTCTTCAACTGTGTATCTCTTTTCTGGGAGGGCTGCAACCTACATATGTACATCGCCAAACGAAAACTAAACCTAATAAGATTGCGAAATATTGAGCTCAAAATCCTAAAATCAGCCAACAAGTTGAAAATCCATCAAGATAGCAAATCCTCACTCTATCCCATTCAAAATCGTGATTGTACTCATTGCGTAGCACGCATTGTGTACTAATCCAAGTATTGCTGGTAAAGAATTTAGACTTTTCTATCAGATCATTCCTTTGGAGCGGATGCCAAAGAAAAGATCAGACCGACGGTGAATTGAAGCGAGTTCACATTAGAAGATTGTGGGAGTTGCATTCGGTTTTCAGAGAAATTACACAATGTGACGGTACAATGATATAAGTACAGTTCCAAAATGCGCTCACTAACGTCATGCAATCAAGAGGCATGAATTGCATCAAAATATCCTACTATCTATCACTCAAAACAATGGCCATGGTGTAATGACAAAACCACCATCTGATTGCAAAGAACGTGAAGATGTACAAAACTAAAAACAACATGGTATATGAGAAAAGAAGTGGGTCTATTTATTGCAACAAAATATAAAAGCCATGAGGTTTGTCAGTTTCCGCAGCAGCAGCAGCTGTAGCAACGTCACTAAGAGAGGGATCAGAATGTATATGGTGGACTTTTTCATGCGCCTCTGATGCTTTTTGAAACTTGTAAACAAAGTCTTGCAGCTCCATCTTACGTGACGTTACAGCCTCATCGGAAGGTTGGGGCTTAAGACCAAGGCGCCGGATACCAAGCAGGCACGAGATGGCGCCAAGACCAAACAAGATGAAAGTAAATGTGGAGAAAGCATGAGGGGAACCACTACCCCCTGGAATGCCATCTAAGTTAACACCGAAGAGCCCAACAATGATAGAGAGAAGGAGTCCACTTCCACCAATAACTGACAAATTGTGTGTCACCCGCAGACTCTGCGCTTGCAGTTTTTCCCTCACGTTGCTCTGCATCACGTCCTGAACTGTGAAAATACGATCCCTCACTGCGTCCTGCTCATCTAACATGCTTCGGGTTCTCCTGTGCACGGTCTTTAGAATCTCTAGGGCATCCTTCACCTTCAAATGTGTCATAAGCTCATGTACAATCTCCTCGCGCGCATGCAAGGACCACTTTATTCTGATAACCTGGTATACTCGTAAATTTCATTAAAACAAGTGATGAGAGAACCAACCCACAAATAAAACAAAAGTACTAGAAGATGTTTTTTTCGTGGAAACTACACATTAGGATTCAATTACAAAGGCTTGTGAACAAAGTTTTAGTATGCCTCTATAACCAAGATGAACTCGGCGAAGCGTAGTTCGTAATATATTCCATTAGGAAACAACAGGAAGGGTCTCAATGTTAACATCCCGAAATGAAAAGAAATTCAGATAGGACCGGACATACTTCGTCCTCCATACTTGAGCATGCGCCTACTACTTTGTCTTGGTTGTTGCTGGAACTTTTGCTTTACATAAAAAACTCCTAAATTTTGTTCCAGATCCTTCACTAAAAATCCAATTTTAAATCACTGGTTAAGATTTTAACTGACCTGATTTTAAACCACATGCCAGTTCTACCCGTCCATTAGTCAGCATAATTGTTCACAAACAGATGTAAAAGGGTATACCTGAGTGGAAAGACGACGAATCTCTTGATTCAATATTATACTTAGCAGCGCCAAGTCTTCGTTAGATTTCCTGTTGAACATATCTCAAATAGCTTAGTAGCGTAATCTTTCAGAGCAAAGAGCAACTTGTCCTCAACTATTTTGTGAAAAAGAAGAGGGCACCAGACCATGTGTCTATATATATATATATATATATATATAGATATACATATATATAGACTCACATTTGTTTACTTATTTATAAACCCCTCAATTTGTTGTAGGTTGAAGTATTCCATTGTTTTCAAAGCTCCAAATGCTGAATATACTTTCATTGAAAAGCAGCTGACCCACTATCATGTTAGTATGAATGGAGAGACTCACACTTTTAAATTCTCCTTGTTAAAAGAGCCCTATTACAATTGTTCTTCTCAATCTAATTAACATCTAACAGTCAGTTGTTGATTAATGATCCAGACCCTGTGTTGGTAGTTTAGTGTGCGATGTAATTGAGTATGATAGAGCTTCTATTTCCATATGATTCATCAGAAAAATTGCTGAGAAAAATATTACAACATTTGAGCCTGCATACACTCTCGAAAACGCAATATTCCACACGTCTGTCACTCACCTATTTACATACTTCAGCTCAAGTTCATCAGCTGCACCGAAGTAGTGTTTTCTTGCCATCCTGCACATATAAAAGCACTCGGATGCGTCTCTAAAAGTTCTACTACATGAACCTTCCACAAAGTAATGTATGCGAATCCCGCTACATTCCAGAACCATGGTCATTGTGAGGGCTTGTCATCCAGATTCATGAACAAAGTACGCGAAATTATTATCTTTCGTCAATCAGCGGGATGAAATCAATATTTGCTTCTATTTCTATTGTTAAAGATGAAAAACGGTTAACTACACAGCCAATTCGAAGTATATTAGTTTTCTTGCTATTTACCGATCATCCCATGTGGCAAGGCAACTGGAAAGCTGGGCAACTATTTCTTCTACACTCTTCGGGGCCTCAGTGCCACCAGCACCAACTAGATCCTGCAAAAGTCGCAAGACATACTGGTCAGCCTTGCTTACTAATTATCTAATTTTAATTGTTTCACTGAATATCCTTTTGCAATGAAGGCATTAACTATATACAACCACACAAGTCAAGTAGCACATGAAGTTGAGAGGTGCAGAGGATTAACTTGGACTTCCAAAACACCGAGTACGTTAAGATTGTTCACATGGCCCTTCACATGCATCGATGTGATCAGGTGATTTTGCGATAGCCATGACCTTAAGACCACAGCTACGTCCTCCTCTTCACGGTTTGGATCGCCCACAGAAAGACCAGTAAGCTCAAATAACAAGCCTCCTGCCACCCGCACAGGTACCTACACTATTCCCAGGATTAAAATCATCCCGAGTTTTGAAGGATAATTGTATCTTTCCTAAAGAAAGCACCAGATACATTTCGAAGCCATAGTTGCCAAACCCTCCCACATATCAGATCAGGTAAACAAGGCAAAGGACAACCAATAAAGAACAGAGATAGAACCTCGTAAAGCAGATGTTTCATACGATCACTGATGAGCCGTTTCTCATCTCGAAGCCCAACACTGACAGCAGGATGCAACCACTGAGCATTTAGAAATAGATGTTGGACTTTAGGATGCCTTGAGTCCACATGACACCAAAACGTAGGCCCTGCCCGTTTTTTCCAGTAAGGTTGGGCTACATCAGCTACGGAAAGAGTATCGTCTTGGTCAGAAAACTCCTCGTCCAGCTGCCACTCCGACTCACCCTACAGGCAAACATGAATTTACATTTGAAGACAACACGCATAAACATCGCCCAATTTTTAAAAAACGAAATCTTACTCTTGATACTACAGTAATTTAATATGAGGATTATCAGGTTATTCATCGAACCTTCGTTATCTGAGTCAAATGTCCGACACAGGAAAATTCTGAACAGAACCACACAGTTCCTCTTAACCTATCAAATCGTCAATCCCACGTAGGAATAAGCACAGGTCCAAAGCACCGCAACTTTTGAAATCAACATGGAATGCAACAGAGTTAACGTAATAGCACCTGCAGATCTTGAAACAATTCCGTCAGCCGATCCCAACCAATAGGAATCCACTGACTCTGCCTATTTCTCGTACTCGGTTGACGAACAAGTGAAGAGCCATGGCTCAGACTCAATGGACTCAGGTCTTTCGGAGCATCCGTCTCCAAACTCTTCCGCGTAGTTCCTGGACTGATTGGTGTCAACTTTGAAGAGTTCGATAATTGATCTTCGGGACTGGAACGAGGACTGCTTGCTGGGGACTTGTTTGAACGCTTTGAATCCACCCCCAAGTTTTCTATTAACGAAACCGGTTGTTTAAGAGATATTTCCGTATCAAATTGCCCTTGAAGAAGTCCTTGTGCGGTGATTACACCTCCCAACTTAATCTTTTGCAAAGGAGCAGGAATGAATTCATAGGCACATATTAATCCATCCAGCCAGAGATTATGTATATCCATGTTAATCAATCAGGGCAAACACAGCTTCGGTGGGTTAGGAGCACAAAGCGGGTCTGGTGAATGCACTAATGTGGTGCTTCCAAGGCTATTCTTCAGACAAGACTCGAAATCCTAAACACTCAAACCAAAGCCGAACATTCTGCCTCGTGATGCCACCTTCGACCTACAAGAACAGCTCCAAAAACCACTTGTGAGAACATGTAACTCAGCAAACAAGTTCAGCTCCTCTGATACGCGCAAGGCACTCAGAAGTACGACTCTGAACAGAAACAAAGCCAAAACTAAACCCAACAGACCTACGACACAAACTCAATCCACAATCAAAGGCTCGTGGTTATGTCCTGCACAGTATTCGACAATAATAACAAACAATTTCAACTCTGCATTTGGACCAAACTCATGAAGGAGCTCGTGTAAAACCATTCCATGAACTGTATCCACGATGATCACCAGAACCGCTTCGCAAATCTGATTTACATGTTTTCTACGGTCAGACATGATGTGTCCATAAGCGTGTCAAAACATCTTGCCAACCTATTCAGCACAAGCTAAGAGCTCCGCATAGTAAGTTTCTATAATGGGCTTAGAAAAAATAGAAAGTGAGAGGGAATAGCCCCCCGCTGAAACATTGCCTAGTGCACGACATCATTAATTCAGAACTCAAGCTCCTAATACAACATTTGTTAACGATATGCGGAAGCAACATACATAATGCTCAAATCATCGTTATCCAGTTAGAATTAGACCTAGAGCAACCCTCGAGTGACAAACATTCGCGCTCTGCTTGCGAGACAGCCTAAACCACGCTCTCACGTTGGCTTCACAAAATTCTTGGACGCAACGAAATTCAAAAAATCCCGCAGAACAAGGATGTGCGTCTCAGTGAAAGCTTGAATCCTTTCCACAGTCACTCAACCCTGAAAGCCTATTGACACCACTACGCATCCAGCCTGAACTTCTACCGAACAAAAAGCAATACAAGCACAAACACCAAAGTTACTCACAGAACACCTCCACTCTGAATTGCTCCACACACCTGCCAGTAACAGAGAACCCCCCACAATCTCACAAAACCTCTAGACCCTTGTAACAGGAAACCAGAAACAATGTCCACGAAGCTCAACCAAAACCAGGACCACCTCAAAGCGCCGAATTCAACACCATCCCCCACAGTGACCAAGCATAATAAACCCACGACGAAGAACTCACTCGCATGCATGCATCGAAAGGCGGGAGGGTGTCCCAGAAAGGCTCTTACATCGAAGAAGCTCATGGTTGAGAAGCAGGGCCTCAACAGCATCGCTGAATGTGAATCCCAATCGCCCACATTTACGTCGGTGGATTCGACGCGAGCAGGCTGAGTGAAGGCGGCGTAAGGAAGCGCAATCGCTGCGTGCGCGATGGCGCCAAGTGTGTCACCGCCCTCGCGCGGCAAGCAAGTCTACCTCACATCCAGAGTCAACGGACATATTTCATCCAAAAATGAAGGACGGAATTTCATTCGTTTCTACTTGCTTACGAATGTGGTGATTGAAGGATGAAATTTCAAACTTTCATCTATCTGGGGTTGCATATTGGGAGGCATTCGGTTGGGTGGAGAAAATTGGAGGGTAGAAATGTGTGGAAGAGAGAAACAAGAGACTGATGAAGTAGTGTCCGAAGTGCACCCATTATTAAGAGAATAAGAAGAAGGTAGATTTGGTGAAAGTATGAGTTCAAGTTGCATTAAGGGGGTTCAAACATGGCCTTTTCAGGTAATATTTCACCCATGATGAAATTTCAAAGTATCTCATGATATTTCAAAACATCACTTGCAAGGTGCGTGATTTTGAAATCCAAATATCAAAAGAAGGGCAGGTCAAATATCAAAATTTGTGTTGCTCCTTTATTCTCTTCTCTCTTTGACTCCATTCCAAGGACATAATAAAGTTTGAATCAAGGGATAATATCATGGGGTAATCAAGTTTTAACTTTGATATTTTGAGTGATCTTTAAGTTTTTAATGACCGTGTAAGAGCTATGCAAAATTAGTATTGAAGTTGCAAGACTCTATTTTTGAAGCATCAAGAGGGGTCTATATTTTAAAAACATTTGTGAGTTTTATAGTAGATCTATGTGTGAAAACTTTTGGGTTTGTAAAAACACTTTTTTAGATGTGTGTTGTAAATTCAAGCTCATTTAAAGTATTAAATTAAAATTTATTAGGCTTAAAATAAATTAGATTATTAGAAATTAAAGGATTAAAGATTAATAAGGATTTTTAAGATTTGCAAAAATCTATTAAGATTCTTTTTGGATTTTGTTAGGATTTACTTATAGTTTGTTAGAATTTATTTAAGATTTGTTAGGATTTATTAGAACTTTTTATAGTTTCTTTAGAATTTTATTTTTTAGAATTTTTAAGAGATTTTTTTATAACTTCATTAGGATATTTTTTAAAAAGATTTCTTTTTGATTCATTTATGAATTATTTAGACTTTCTTAAGAATTTCTTAGGTTATTTTTCACATAATAAAACAATAATAACTTGGCATCTAATTGGGATAAATCTATTACTTCATGTTGGACTATTGTTATGATGTAAATAGGTCTTTTGTATACAGTAGGGTTGTATCTTCTTTTCGTCAAAAATTTCAATCAACTAATAATTTAGGTTGACTTCATTGTATTTTTTCTATTTCTTTTAAAAATCCATTTTTTCTAAATTTATTTTTTTTTACTACATTCAAATAGAATTCTTCTATCATTGTGATTTTTTTTTTTTTTTTTTTTTTTCACTAATATTTTGTGACTTTTTTTTGCTTCAAATATTTTTTTACTTCAAAGTCTACAAAAAATACCTTTTAATTGACTTGCCTTAGGTTCTTACTTTTATTTTAATCTTTTTTTATCTTTAACCTTAATTTAATTTTTGGATTTATACTAGGTTGATAAAGAGTCTTAATGGCTGTAATTAAATGCTTTTAATAATACTAATTTGGAAGTTAAGTTAAACATTTTCATGACCTTACAAATGCACCTTCTTTATTTGTTAAATCACCTAGATCCTTGGCGGCAGCTTCATGGAGCAGCTCTAAAATAGTACATGGAAGAGAGAGATGGGAATTGTTTTTGGTTGTTTGAAAAGATGTACATTTAGTTTTTTTTCTTCAGAGAAGTGAAGTCTCTTTTGTACATTTGCAGTGTGCATGTGATTTTATCAAGAGCGGTGATGACGTTGAAGGTAATGCTGGATTGTGGGTCGAGGATTAAGTGGAGAGGAGCTGTTGCATAATCTAGCGTTGTAAGATAACCTCAGTAATTTGGACTTGTATGTTATGTTAGGCACCGCGTCTTGTGTGTGGCGACATTTTAGTGTCAAGGTGGTACTGAAGTAGTTTCATTTAACGTTGCTAAGTTTTTGTATTTTTATTTGGTTCTGTGAGCGAGAAGCGATCAGTTATATGTATGACTATTGAACAATCCAGCAGAAGAAGCTGTAGAGGTGGAGCGTCATCGTAGTGGTTGATTTGAGTGGGAAGGCTTCACACACGGCCATAATGAAGATTATCGAGCTTTACATAAACACTGACATATATATCACACTAAAATGTTTTGTATGACCCTACTCTTTGATAGGGCAACAAAGGTATTCAACATCTTGATGCATTTAGGATACCCAAGAATGACAGTGTGCAACACAAACCAACAACAATCAACTTTCAGAATGTGAACTTTGGAAAGAGAATTTCATATCATGTTGTCAGAGCACCACATTGCCGATGCTGAGTCTTATCATCAGATATTTAATTCCATTAAACTTGAAACCGAGTACTTACGGTTCATTTGTTTCCTTATATTACTCAAAATTATACGACAGAATTACACTAAAAGACAATAAATTCTGACATTTCACTTCACACTTGACATAAAAGACGATGCACAATGCTGTGAAAAAGTAAGACATTGTAGACAGTGGGTATTAATCAGATTGTATTGATTTTCCTAAAACTGCAGTAGAGGAATTAAAAGTTTGATGACGGGAGAAAAACGTGAAGTAAATGCAGTTGGAAATAACTACTGATAGCCTTTAGTTCGAAAAACAAAAGAACTAGCAATTTCAATTTCATTTCCCGGCAATACAGAAGACAATTTCAGGTCATACAATGTGCAAAAATGGGTATTCTACAGTTTAAACTGGAACCAATGGTATACAACAACGGGTTCTAAGTTGGTCCCGCGAATATGATTACACCTGGCCACAAATGGCAATGCACTGGTTCAGAGGTTACTTGAGTGGTTAGAAATAAGTTAACAAGCGGCAACTGATGTATGATTCTACATACGAATTTCACAGTTAACAGATACATTGGCTTCGTATCAAAAGCAGCCCAAATGCTTAGAAGACAGTGCTTCTAGGCAATAGGGAACTTCCAAGCGAGAAAAATAATAATGAAACATGAGACAGAATGAGACTAACCTTTCTCGTGGTTGCTCTGTCCTTGGCCTTTCAAATCTCAATGATCCTTCATCTTCTACTTTCCATGGTCGTGTCTCTGCAAAAGAGAAACAACAGTCATGTGTTAACTTAGATGAACCGTACAAGATCATTCTCAAGATAATTTTAACTGCTTCTTAGAGCACGAATTTCATCGTTTATTCTAAAAATAGAAACCAAAAGATATATATATATATATATATATATAAGTAAAAAATTCACAACCCGGACAGTAGGAATGACCTTGAGTATTAAGTTGGCTATATTATGTAACTAACTGCTGTGCAATGAAAAGAACAAGAGAGTAAGAAATTCGCAAACAACTTGCCAACGGCCAAAATGCTCAGGAGTGCAAATCAAAATTAAGATATATATTAAAAAAAACACAATAGCTAGAGTACATAATGTTTCACATTCAGTTGCTGATACAGCTACGCAAGGGATAGAAAGATACATCTTGTAGTATTTGCCATTGCAGCTGATGCTGCTCGTCAAGCACCCGCCACGGAACACCAAATGCGAACTCTATAGTATTGCCCTGTGCTAAATGGGATGTTGTCACGGCGCTTCTCTGCAGTACATTCAAAACAAACCACATGTAACTGCTACAACCAGATTGAACAATTTCTTTCTTTGAAAAGAACTAAGAATGCATATCCTGCCAGTCTGTAAATAACGCAGGTAATGAAATTGATGGTAACTTACAGGATCTTCAACGGCAAAATCTCGCCCTAGAGCAAGATCAAGATGGCCAGGATACTTTGATGGGTGCGATTTTTTGAAATCGGTAATATCAAAGCGAGTAGCGGTCAAAGGCCTGAGGTCGATCAAAGTTAGATACTTAGTAAATCACACACATCATGGAGAGTGCCAGTGGTGGATAACTAACTAGAGGAATAAACTACCGCTTCACCATACTGAGGATAAATGAAAGCAAATGTTAACCATCAAGGCCTTAACAGGAACTTAAAAGATATTTTAGCAGAGCTGTAAGACATCCGAAAACGTCTAACACAGATAAGAGTTCACCAAAAGGAAACGTATTGAAATTCCTCATAAAATGATGGCAACAGCAATGGAGGGCTGGAACACCTGTTCGCCACTACTACACAGCTTGATTCCATCTTGTGCAGAAACTCGTCAGCTTTCTTGGCAGACGGTAGCTTCAATAGCGCTGAAGCTAAAAAAAAAAAAGGACACAATCGATTAGAACTAGATATGAATGATTAATAAGCCTCACTGAAATTCCCGATTCTCGTTCAGTAAATCGTGGATCTACAGCAATCTCTAAGAACTGCTCAAAACATTGAAAGACGTTGAACTGCTAAGACTTTAAGCAGCAAATAGGGCATAATTAAATACAGAGAGACGAACGCACTAGTATTATAATTGAAAGAAACTGGTGGGGCTATTCGAACTTCACATTTCATCCTCATTTCAGCAGTAAATGCTTCCTGCATGTTATAAAAAGAGTCAGTTGTTCTTTCCAGTTGTGAAGACACTAACTTTTGCAAAACGGCTTTCATTAGTTGATGTCACGATGAGCATTCCAAAATATTCATGTGTCCCTGCAAACAAAGCCATACAAACTTCTCTTCCAACCACATTTATTATATCAAGCTGAAACAAAAAAGAGCAGCAACTGTAGTGTTGTAAGAAACTTCAAAGTGGAGTTCTAACCGCCAAGTCATCAGAATGCAGTCCTGGGTCCACATTCTTGAGAAGCAAAACCCTGTTGCCTTGGATTGCCGGAACTATTGATGCATCCCAGTCCTGTAATGGTCAACCAGAATCCAAATTAGATTGGATGGCTCAATCCCCATTGTCCGTCCTGTGAGAGAACTACAATATAGTCCTAAACTACGGACATAGATGCTACTGACCTCAACTCTTGCTTTGGGAACTTGTCGATGACGTTTCTCCTGCATCCACACACGCCTTAAATTCAGCAATTCATGTACGAGTATATCCATAAAAAACGCATGTCAAAAGGAACCTACAATCCTCTTCAACAATCATAAAATCAACTTAATTTGGTAGCATAGTGCTCGGCTTGAAGGCTTCACAAATAGGTCTCCAATGGTCATCCAAGACTTGTACAGGATTCTCCAAGCAAAAAGGTAGCGGCGGATCGTAACCTGTTGAGCATTCGGGGCGTCGTTAGGTCTGTCCGTCAAAATTGTACTCAACTCTTCCCTTGGTGATCCAGGTCGAATAAGCTCCTTGGCTGTGGATAAATTCTCTTTTCTTGCAGGTACGTCTAAAGCTGGGGAACTAGATTGTCGATGACTCTGATTTGATCCCCGAGCCACATCTTCGTCCTTTTTGTAGCTGCTATCAACATCACCTTTCTTCAACTCTTTTGAATTGCTGGGACTTGCACAATGAAAATTTGTGCCCTGCTCCATTGCACTTGAATTTATAGGAGGCTTTGAAGATGCATCATTTGGAGTCTCAGTTAGTGAAGTCGTGCCTGATTTTGTACCACTTGAAGTGCCTGTATGAACGTTGGAAATCTTCCTTGCACTGGTTGAAGGATGCGACAGACTGGGTGCCTGCGTGCGTAATGTTTTCTCGTCTAGCCCAAGAGAGAGTCTTGAGGATTTTTCATCAGCTCCAGTCTTCGCTTCACGACTATCACGAGAGGTAGCCCAAATGTCAGCGTCATCAGCTCCTTTCTGTTTTCTAAAAGTCTCATTCCAAGTTGGAACATTAGACATTTCAACAGGCTTAGAAATTGTGTTCTGCAACCCCTCGGCACGTGTCTCCTCGGCTTTTCTTGGTTCTTCAACTCTCACCCCGCCACCTTTTATCTCAGCCTGAGTAAATTCAACTAAAGCAACTGAGGAATTTGAATCTCTCTTCAATTTATCCTTCCCTTCAAGAGGAGCTGCTTCTGCATTAGGCACTGAGGGAAAAGGCCGTTCGGCCTTGACATGCAGATTTGCATGTCCTTGTCCTAAATTGCTCTTTGCTGGTGCTGGAATACCTAAGACTACTATCTGGTGCTCAACTTTAGATTTTCCATGACCATGCGCTTCGTTATTTTTCTCAATAGCTTCCTTCTTTAACTCAACTTCAAAATTCTTAGGTATATGGACTTCGCTCTTTTCATCCACAATGTTGGTTTTCTTTGGCTTGGCTTTAACCTTCTTTTCCCTTGCAAGGTCGGCCTTCTCAAACTGGGCTTCAAAAGTGTTTTCTACTATGACGTCGACATACCCTGGTTCAGCTTCTGAGTTCTTTACCTTTTTACCATCAGGCTCTTCTGGTTCGATGTCAATTTTCATTTCCTCTATGACGACGGCCTTAGGTGACTCGACTTTTGATCGCTTGGGAGTATGTACTTCATTCTGTTCCTCTATTACTCCAAGCTTCTGTGATTCCGAAACTAATTCAGTGCTCTTCCTTTTCTTCGTCCTCTGCTCCGTTGATTCTCTCGAAGGAGCAGGTGACACTTCAGGAACAGACAAGTTTTGAGCACAAGCAGCATCCTGATGGGAGGACACTGAAGCAGGAGATTGACAGAGCACTCGAGATGAAGACTCGATCTGAAAGCAGAATTTAAACCAAGTCACAAATAAAGTGCGCATGTGGGACATGAGTAGGAGATGGAAGACCTGGTTAGAGATTGGTACGATATTATGAACAACATAACATTATTACATGATTAAATGACGCACTTATAACACTGAAATGTGCACAAAGTGCATGAAAGATATATGAAAACCGGGAGAGGCCTCTTCTGCAAGGGGTATAGTGTACAAGTTTCACGGGGCATATGACGTAGACTGAACAACGATTCAGATAACGAGAAGGAGCAGGAAAAAGTGAGGATAATGAAAGAAACAAGAAAAAAGGTAGAAATTCCGGAGATGAAGCACAAGAATAAAACCTGTGAAAAGGAGCGTCCCGGAATCTTGGCTAATAGCCACTCCCTCCTGTTAAAAACTTTTTGAGCTGCAGCCCAATCCACATAAACCACTTAAATCAAATCCAAATTTTAAGCAACTCGGAAACCCATCAAGTGTCCGCTCTGAGGGACAACAACAACAACAACAACAACAGTAAAGTAAAGGTCATAATGCTTGCGGAACATAAATCAGCAATCACAACATACCTCCAATGGCCTCTACAACACTATCAAGCTCAACAACTTCCTTGTTTTCAGGATCATACGCTTTATGGAAAAAGTAATCGGCAGACTCAATTTGATTATCAGAAGGAATCTCGTTGAAGCCATCCTCATCCTTTGCAGTGCAAAATATGATGCATCTACTGGCTATTTCCTCCTGGACATAGATGTCAATTAGGGCTAGTTAGGTCAAGCTCCATAACGTACATTATCACATAGGCTACACAACTCGTTAGGCCGAAGTCCATAAAACTCCAGATTGATGCTTACCAATGACATATCGTCCTCCACGCCGGGCCCTTCCCCTGATGCCAAGAACCGCTCCTTCGATTGTGGGGTGTAACCCAATGCTTGGACAGCAGACGGAGATAACTCAAAGAGGGAATAGAACCTCCGAACTTTACAAACCTTTCTGTCTTTCAACTGAGAGAGCTTCATAATTTTCCCAATATGACCGGGTTTAGATTCAAACGAGCATCGCACACAATCACCAACAACAAGCGTTTCACCACGTATGGTAACAGACTTGTACGTGGTTGATCCCAGCTTCGGACCCCACACATAACTCTCTTCTTTGATTCCATCCACGCTCTCCTTCCTTAGAGCACCCACTTCATTTTCCTCCATTTCTCTTCACTTCCTGGCCTCTGAACTCAAGTAAATTGCAAAATTCACGCACTTGACTTATAGTGCAGTGTTTCAATACATGGTTTTCCCAGTCATGTATCGTACACAATATTCAGGGCCCTGCTGCAAGCACCATGCACTTCGAAAGGCGAAATTGAAAACCCCGTAACTACCATTTTACCCCGCACTTCTTCGATCAAACCAAGTTGCATATCTTAAGGTGCCACAAAAGCTTTTCGAACTGCGCAAAAGACCTTTGCGAAGTCTAAAACCCTAATCAGCGCGTCTGGTTTTGAGTGAAAAGAAGCCATCAAATCCACGACTGCACTGCAATCACCAAGTATATATCATTACCAAATGATCAAAATCGACACATCCAGGTCACAGCTAAAAACAGCAAACAGAATTACTTGACTAAAACCCTTCGGGAGCCAAATTAAAAGACACAATATGTTGCGATTTGACTGTGTCACTACCAACTTTCGAATGGCATTCACACCTCCGGGAAGATTCTGACCCAATGCAGACTCGCATGAAAGACACACGAAAAATGCAGCACAACATCCGACCGCAGCAAGCACGCAGTAAGGATTACTGCACATTTCAAATTCCTTCAAGAACACAAGACTGATTTTAAAATAGTCATCAGCGCATTCACACTGAAATTTTCCAAGCACTCATGCTACTCATACGAATCTAACTACACATTTCTCTACCTATGTTCAAATTGGAAACAATAATCGACAGTGAGCCAATAATCTCCAATTTAGACCTAAATTGTGAGAATGGGGGCCTAACCAAGTCGAGAACAATCGCATTCCAACACGGAATCCTAAAAAAATTATGTCATTCCAACTTCGACCCAATTCGACCCCACAGCATACAATTGAAACCCACCTTCAAATTCGAGTACAAGATCATCCCCTATGTCCCACACGAGAGAGTGCAACACCGCCACATGACGAAACAATTGTCGTGGGATTCGAACAAAAAAAGGTCCGCCGCGACGAAGGCTCGGGGATGAATGACATATGGATGAATGAGTAACTGATGGATGTTGTCAATGTCATCCAGTGAAACATTGCTTCGTTTGAGGGGTTCTCGGCGGCGAAAGTGAGAGCGAGAGGTATTTAAATGTGTAATTGATGATTTTGTACGTGGCTGATGACGTGGTGAGTTTCGTAAGATAGTGGGTCAATAAAAGTAATTTCAAGGGTTCAGCAGACTTCATTAAAAGTGGGAAATTGTTAAATTAACCACCCTTTTAACTAAATAATATTTAAAGGAGTATATAGAGTGAAACTACAATGATGCAACTTGGATAGAAGAGACATCTATACATGAATACAAAATGAATGAGCACCACTAAGATATTAACTTGTAGAAAGAATGATTCTAATAAATAATACGTTTGAGGCATTCTTGTGCTTTTTGAAATTTCTTGTTTTCTAATCCTATTTTTTTACTTGAAATTAATATAGATACTATTAAATAAGAAATATATTTTTTTAGCAAAAATATGTTAATGATACTTGATTTGTGAATATAAAATCTATGTATTTCAAGTTTTACGTAGTATTTGCTCAATTTTAAAGAATATTGGTTGTAATCCACTCTAAAAAGAACCATAGGTAGAAGCTACTTCAACATCAATTTTATAGCTCAAAATCATTCCAACCACTAAATTCTTCTAAGCTTATATATAGAACTTGAATCTTTTAATATAAAGCCTTGATTTCAATACATTTTTTCTAAAAAAGACAATACATTAGGTATATATTCATATGTATATTATATTTAAAAATTTATAATATTGTAACAAAGAATATAGAAATATACATAAAGAAATAGACAACAAGACATGTATTATTGTCCTAGACATACATAGTTATTTTAATATTTATCTATATGACTAAATAGAAGTAGATAAAAGTAGATTTATTTTGTAATATTCTCTAAAGAAGCTTCCTAGAAGCTTTATAAACATTGCTTTAGCTTTACATGTGTTTGAAGTTGATTGATAGGTTAGAAACTTGGTCAACAACTTAATTACATATTGGTAGCTTGTAATATAAGCCAAATGTGTGGCGCAAATATAAAAAACATGCCTTGTAAATTAGGATATGTGTGTCAAGGACAAGAACTTGATAAAAATAAATAAACAAGTTAGACTTTTCTCAAAGAAAGATGAAAAAATAGAAATAACTAAATATGTATATTAAAAAAGAAACTGGAATGGCTATTGCCAAAAGACAAGAAAACTAGATACCCTTGAAACTAGACAAGAAGCAAGAAAGGAGTTAATGAGTGAATGAGGCTCCACTCTTACTTCTATATATACTACCTACTTAGAAGCTATGTGGCGACGGTCTATAAGACCTACAAAAACGTGTTGACTTTATATAACACATATTTTAACTTGCAAGGCAAGTTTTCTATGTAGGTGCCACATAGTTAGCATGTTCCACAAGCTACCAACATCTATGGCACGTGATTAACTTATTGACCAAGTTTCTAACCTACCAATCAAGTATAAACACATCTAAGGCCAAAGCAATGTCTATACAGCTTCTATGAAGCTTTTCTAGAAGATATTATAAAATTAATCTATTTTTACCTACTTCTACTTAATCATATCACTTAGATAACAATTATAGTAAATATATATCTATGACATTACTCCCTCTTCTATGGACAAGTTCCATGAGGAGTGGTAATCACATGTTGAGGAAGTCTAAGATGCAGCAAATTCTATTTGTCACATACTTTGATCTTTGCTCTCTTCGAAGATAATTGATAGGGCCTCTCAACCATCGATAGTGTCCCATATCAGGATGAGAAGACTACCCAGATATTTAATCGTTGTTGAGGCCTTCATAACTTCCTTCAAATGAAACATTTGGAACACCATCAGGAGTTGTTCCTACCTCTAGTAAAATCACCAAACGTCGGGAGACCCTTCCAAGGTCATGATACCAAACGCGTTGTATCTTGCCATCTATTCAAAGAAAAATATGTCATTCTTGAGGATCTTCACCTCAATTGCATCAACTTGAAGTTTGAAACAATCATAATGTCTCGTACAACAAGTTAGCAAACAAAGGCTCTTGAGTAAAATCCGTTGGTTGTTCGTTCTCCATCTCCTTAATGTCACAACTACAAAGAAGCTACAAACAAGGATTGAAATTAAAATGTTATCTTGTTTAGATCTTGTTTCTTTCATAAGAAAGATTTTCATCTTGATTTTGATGGATGTCGTTGATGAAAAGCCTTCGCCTCTTTTTTTGCATTTACAAGATTCTTTACTGGCTCCCATGTATGTTCACTAATATTATATCCATGCTAATGGATTAGATATTCTAATTTATTTTGGCGCCGCCTTGAATCTAGGAATTCTTCCACTTCAAACTCTTTATTATTATCTACTTCTATAGGAGGAGGTGGAACTTGTCTTCTTCTTGATATGTCTATTGTCTTGTATGGTTCAAGAAGAGACACATGGAATACTGGATGGATTTTTATTGATTCCAGTAGGTGTAAATGATATGCAACTGAATTGATTTGTGCAGAAATAGAAAATGGTCCAAGCCTTCAATAGTCCAACTTATTACAAGGACGAGTGGTCTTGATGTTGCGACGAAGTAACCATACCTTGTCACCTATATAAAATGGTGGTTGTTCCTTTCGACAGACATCTGCATTAATCTTTTGTTGTTCTAAAACTTCTTTTAACTACGCCTTTATTGTTGTATGTAGCTCTGACAAATGATTTGCCAAACCTTTTGCCACAAGATTATCAGCTTTTGAAAAGTCAAAAATATCAAGTTGTAGATGATAACTTTAATTGGCAAAGAAAGGTGTTTATTTTGTAGAAGAATATATCGTATTATTATAAACAAACTCTGCCAATGGCAAAAGAGTTGTCCAATCATCTTGTTGGTAGTTGATGGTACATCTTAAATACTGCTCCAAAATTTGATTAACACGCTCCGTTTGTCCATCAGTTTGAGGATAGAATGCTGAAGATAGTTTTATATCTACTTTTAAAATCTTAAAAAGAATCTGCCAAAATCTTGATACAAACTGAGTTCCTCTATCTAATATAATATCCTTGGATAATCCATAATAGCGATAGATATTGTCAAGAAAGAGCTTAGCTATTTCTTCACCTGTGATACATTTTGTACCATGTACAAAATACGCCATCTTGGTAAAATGATCTACTATCATGAATATAGAGTCATAAGAACCTGAGATTGGAAGATCCGTGATGAAATCAATAGAAACAGAAGACCATGGTTGTTCTAGAATGGATAATGGCCAAAAAAGTCCGTAAGGTCATTGACGAGGAGTTTTTGATCTTGAAAAAATATCAAAAGATTGTACAAAATCTTTGACTGCCTTCCACATTTGGGGCCACCAAAAATCCCTCGATATTAGTTCTAAAGTTTTATTGTACTTAAAATGTCATACTGCTTGAAAGTCATAACAAGCTTGAAGAACATGAAATCAAGCTTCATCTTCTAGAACATATACGAGTCCCTCAAAATATATTAGATTGTTCTTGAATTCAAACTTAGAAGTATCATGAGACTTTGAAGGATTTTCCTTAATATCATGAATAAGAGGATCAGAAGACATACTTAACTGAACTTGTTTAATGAAAGTTGAATCAACAATTAGTGTTGATTTCATTACTCAAAGATGAAGATGCTCTAGCTTCAAGAAAATTGTCTGTTGCTGATCAAAAATAACATTTTCTTCCTTTGATATAAGGTAAGATCGTCTAAAGAGTGCATCTTACAAACCTTATTGTTTTTTCAATCGATAAGTGATCATAAATTTGAAACTTGATAAAAAAATACTCCAATGGACTTGGTGACAATTTAAAATACGAGCTAACATAAAATATTTAAGGTTCTTGTGTTTTGCATATATGGTGATAAGAATAGGAGCACCTTCTAAATAATGGTGTCATTCTTGAAACGAATCCACAATTGCAAGAAGTTCTTTGTCGTGGATCTCATAGTTGATATTGGCTGCTAAATTTTTTTGGAATGAAAAGCTATTGGATGAAGTTTATTATCTATTCCCATTTGTGACAATATGGCATCCAAAGCAAAGTCTAATGCATCTGTTTCCATTAAAAATGGCTTAGAAAAATTGACGCAATACAAGATTGGTGTAGAAACAAAGATTGTCTTCAAAGCTTCAAATGCTACTTCCGCTTCTTGATTCCATAGAAGTTTAATTTGACAAGTCAAACATATAAGTAGAGCTACAACTTGAGAGAAGTCTTTGATGAAGATCCAATAGTAGTTGGCAAATTTCAAAAAGTATTCGACATCTCTTACCATTTTTGAAATCTTCTAATCCATGATAGCTTGAACTTTCTTAGGATCCATCATAAGTTCATCATTTGAAATGATGTAAGCTAAGAAATTGACTTGAGTAGTGTGAAATACTTACTTTTTTATCTTGGCATAGAGTCCTGCATCTCTTAGTTTTTGTAACACACGATGAACATGAAGTTCATGTTCTTCTAAGTTCTTAGAATAGATTAAGATGTCATCTACGTAACAGACAATAAAATCATCTATAAACTCCCAAAAGACATCATTCATTAAATGTTGGAATGTTGTTGGTACATTTGTAAGTCCAAAAGGCATGACATTGTATTCAAAATGTCCATACCTTGTTCAAAACGTAGTCTTCCATTCATCTCCTTCTTTGATGCTTATCAGATTGTATGTTCCTCGTAGATCTATTTTTATATAGATCTTAGCTTGATTCAACTGATTAAAGAGTCCAAATATTAAAGGTAGTGGGTACGTGTTCTTAATAGTGATTTTATTGAATCCTAAATAATC